CGCGGGCTCGACCGCTACCCCGGGGATTCACCCGGATCGCCTTAGGAATCTTGTCAATGAACCTGCGGCCCCCGCCGCTGCTCCCTCAGGCCCTCGCGGATTAGGCCCACAACAACCACCCCGAGGACCCTCTGCGCAGTCTGTCCAGTCTGGACCGCCTGGACAAGGCTTCGGTGGGGAGCGTGGCCGCGGCGATAAACGTTTTGCAGGCCTCAACAATATGCTCCAGCAGTCTGGTGGTGGTGGTGGCGGCGGTGGTGATCGGGGTGGGAACGCCCCTCCTGTTCGCGGAAGAGGCGCCAATCGTCCACCAAGCACCATGGAGGCACCATCGCCTCAGCCTGCAAACCGACCCCCTATGGGCCCTGCAGGACCCCAAGAAGATCTATCCCGCAACCGACCCAGCGGTGGCCGAGGTGGCGACTTAATTGATGATGCCGTTCCTGAGACGGGTCGCTCTGGACCGAGTGGCGGTCGCAGCCGTGAAACAGAATCTACTCGCGAAAAAGAGCCCGAGCGCCGTGATGGTAGCAGCAGTGGTCGCAATCGACGCGATGGCCGTCGAAATGATCGCGAACGTAGCCGTCGGAGCGATGTAGGAGGTGGAAGCCGCGACGAAAAGGGCACTGGTGAGCCCCGTGAGACCCCGCGCCGTGTTCAGAGCTCACGCGAAGAGCTGCGACGTCGAGACCGACGTGACCGCCCGGATGGACCATCGGAAATGACTGGACCAACCCCTAGTACCAATGAGACTCATGACACTGAAGGTCGTTTGCGACCCCCGTCCTCCATGGATGCACCACCACCACCACCTCCTCCCCCACCTCCCCCCATGCCGGAAGGCAACGAGCGTCGTTTCAACCCCGGTGACCGAGGTAGCCGGTCCGACAATCGGGACCGCGAGCGTGAGCGCCGTGGCGATCGACGTGACCGGGATCACCAGCGCGAGGGTGGCAGTGGCTCTGGAGGCTCTGGGCACCGTAAGCGTGGCCGACAGGGTCCTGACGACAACACTGATGGTGGACGCGGCATGAGAATGGGAAATGATAACAAGCGTCCTCGTCGAGGCGCGTAATTTTCACCATTCACCATGATACCCTATTAAAAGGAATGATGGAGCTTTGCTTTTGCTTTTTTTGTTTTTTTTTCTTTTCATGTTTTCTTTGCTACGAACTCTCCCCCTACACTGGACTGTCTACTGTTTCCTATCTTGTCTTTGCATTTTGCCTGGTGTTTGGGGACAAACCACTTTACTTCTTTACATGTACTTTTTTCTTTTTCTTCTTTTCTTCTTTTCTTCTAAATGAACGTAACAAAAATCCAATATCCAAGGACCTTTCATAATAACTAATTCCTTTCTATTTATGGATGTACGTACCTCATGCTCCGTATGTCCGTTACTCTCCAGGTTCAGCGGGCCGACCTCCGACATCTCTGCCCCACCTCACTGTGTCGGCTAAACTTCGGGGTCGCAACTACCTCCGTGGCCCATTCAGAGAGCAAGTGGATTATCTATTGCATATCTTGAGATGTAATTTGTTTAACCAACTCAGCATCTCGTATAGCCGTCGTCATTGGACATTAATCCACAGCTTCCCCGCCTACACGGATTGGTTTCATAATCTGACACTTCATACGGAGTACATTCGAAAAGATCTGACTCTCCAGCCTTGGATATAAAAAGATTGATTCTATTCTTCCTCTTTTCTTTTCTTATACTGATTGTATCACTTCACTATTTTTGTGGAACAACCTCAATCTCAATATTGAATAGCTTCACTCTTGTCTCGGAGCAGTTGAGCAAGAGCACAAGCAATTGATATACACCTAAAAAGAGAAAGGAGAACCACAGTACATCATGGCTCGAATTGACGTTGAGAAAACCATCGAGGAGCTCACCCTCGGCGAGAAGGTAGCCCTCACAGCTGGTAAACCCGATATCCATTGCCAAATATAGAAACTAGAAACACAAAAACTAACCTCATCCCATTAGGTCGTGACTTCTGGCACACAGAATCAGTCCCACGCCTAAACATCCCTGCACTACGTATGTCCGATGGCCCAAATGGCGTCCGTGGCACTCGTTTCTTCAACGGTATCCCAGCAGCATGCTTCCCCTGTGCAACCGCGCTCGGCGCAACCTGGGATACCGAGCTACTATCGGAAGTGGGCGCCTTGATGGGCGAAGAAGCGATCGCAAAAGGCACACACATCGTGCTGGGCCCGACGATCAACACCCAGCGATCGCCGCTAGGCGGACGCGGCTTCGAGTCCTTCTCGGAGGATGGTGTGCTCTCCGGTACGCTGGCCGGTCACTTCTGCAAGGCAATGCAAGACAAGGGTGTTGCTGCTACACTTAAGCATTTCGTCTGCAATGACCAGGAGCATGAGCGTTTGGCTGTTAACAGTATTCTTACTAACCGTGCACTGCGTGAGATTTACTTGATGCCGTTCCAGTTGGCTATGCGGATTTGTCGCTCGCAGTGTGTTATGACTGCTTATAATAAGGTTAATGGAACTCATGTCAGTGAGAATAAGGCTATTATTGATGATATCTTGCGCAAGGAGTGGGGGTGGGAAGGTCTTGTTATGAGTGACTGGTGAGTATTGGATTCATTCTGCTCACTCGATGTTTATTCGGAAACTCACGTTGTATTTTTTTTTTTTTTTTGGTTTATAGGTTTGGTACCTACAGTACCTCTGATGCCATCATCGCCGGTCTCGACATTGAGATGCCCGGTAAGACTCGCTGGCGTGGTGGGGCTCTTGCACACGCCGTTTCGTCAAACAAGGTGGCCCAATACCAGCTCGACGAACGCGTGCGCAATATCCTCAACCTGGTGAACTGGGTTGAACCCTTGGGTATTCCCGAGGGAGCACCTGAGAAAGCGCTCAACCGGCCAGAGGACCAGGCTCTGATGCGCCGCGCTGCTGCCGAGTCTGTCGTGCTTATGAAGAACGAGGGTGATATTCTTCCCCTTAAGAAAGATGGGTCTCTACTAGTCATTGGACCCAACGCTAAGATTGCTGCGTACTGTGGTGGTGGTTCGGCCTCCCTGGCTCCATACTACACTGTCACTCCGTTCGATGGTGTCTCTGCCAAGACCAAAGGAGAAGTCAAGTACAGCCAGGGCGTTTACTCCCACAAAGATCTGCCACTTTTGGGACCAAAGCTCAAGACTGCAGATGGCAAGCCTGGATTCACATTCAAGGTCTACAATGAACACCCCAACTCTGGCGAGGACCGGCAGGTCGTGGACGAGTTGCATCTACTCGAATCCTCCGGATTCCTGATGGACTACGTCAACCCTAAGATCAAGTCTATGACCTACTACGTCGACATGGAAGGAACATTCACACCCGAGGAGAGTGGAATCTACGACTTCGGCGTGACAGTCGTCGGCACAGGCCAACTCCTCATCGACGGCGAAGTGGTCGTCGACAACACCAAGAACCAGAAGCAAGGCTCCGCCTTCTTCGGCACAGCCACCATCGAAGAGATCGGCACTAAAGAGCTCAAGGCCGGCCAGTCATACAAGGTTCTCTTCCAGTTCGGCAGCGCACCAACCTCAGACCTAGACACACGCGGAATTGTCGCCTTCGGACCAGGCGGGTTCCGTTTCGGCGCCAGCCGACAAGTCGGCCAGGAAGAACTCATCGCCAACGCAGTCGAGCAAGCTAAAACCGCCGAGCAAGTCGTCATCTTCGCCGGTCTCACCCTGGAATGGGAGACCGAGGGCCACGACCGCGAACACATGGACCTACCCCCCGGCAGCGACGAGCTGATCAGCCGCGTGCTCGAGGTGAACCCGAACGCAGTTGTCGTGATCCAGTCCGGAACGCCGGTCACAATGCCGTGGGCAGACAAAACCAAAGCCCTCGTGCAAGCCTGGTTCGGCGGCAACGAGTGCGGCAACGGTATCGCGGATGTCCTGTACGGCGACGTGAACCCCTCCGCCAAGTTGCCAATCACCTTCCCCCGCCGTCTGCAGGATAACCCCTCCTACCTGAACTTCCGGTCCGAGCGCGGCCGCGTCCTCTACGGCGAGGATATCTACGTCGGGTACCGATACTTCGAGAAGAGTGACGTGGCGCCGGGCTTCGCTTTCGGCCATGGTCTGTCGTACACGAGTTTCGTGCGCTCAGATCTGCACATCGAGACTGTTCCCGAACAGAAAAAGTACACCGAGTCCGGTGAGCCTGTGACTGCGTCGGTGACGGTCTCCAATACGGGATCTGTGGCTGGCGCCGAGATCGTGCAGCTCTGGATCGTGCCTCCGAAGACTGATGTTGGTCGTCCTGTGCGTGAGCTGAAGGCTTTCCAGAAGGTTTTCTTGCAGCCTGGGGAGAGTAAGACTGTGCAATTGGTCGTTGAGAAGAAGTTGGCTACGAGCTGGTGGGATGAGGAGCGGGAGCAGTGGATCTCGGAGAAGGGGACGTATCAGGTTCTTGTTACGGGTACCGGGGCTGAAGAGCTGCGTGGCGAGTTTGAGGTTGGCAAGACAAGGTTCTGGCTTGGTCTGTAGGGCTGTGATCTTTATTTAAGACCATGTCTCATGATTGATGTTATTTTTATCTGTGGATGGGGTAGGTTGGCTTGGCATCTCGGTATACGTGGTTTTGGTATGTCGAATGGATTTTTGAATTTTATTGTGAACTCCATACAACTGTATTATGGTGAAGCTGTTTTAATTGTGTAGCTGTTTTAACTGTGTGGTGTGTCTTACATCCCTGGCCAGGCCGTGGACCGTCGATGAAAAGGTAGCTGATATGAAGTCGCAAAAGCAAAAACAATATTAAAAACATATGAGTGTCCCCCAAAACCACATACTAGATATGATCAATGGTAAAAGAACAGGAAAAGTAAAATGGGTATATACATCGAACATAACAGGCATCTATAACTAGCAAAAGATACGAATACGCCCAGGGTAAAAGGAATCAAGATCACTGCTCATATCCCCTGCAATGCATTTCCAAACGCCCAATCCCAGCTCCAATCAGGAAACTCCATTCTCATTTTCATTCTCCTTCCTCCTCAGCCCAGTCAACCTCCTCAACAAAAGTGAAGCCTTCTTGCGCCGGTTATTTTTGACCGGCACACCGGCCATAGTAACGGAGGTAACACACTCTTGGTGCTTGTACCCATCCCCCAAACACGAAGCCGAGTAAGACATTCCGCGATTGGGCCCGACAACCGTTTGGTACCGGTATCCGCCAGGCGAATTTTCCTCATTCGTCGATGCACTACCCAATCTCGAGTTACCTGTTTCGGGTCTCGACATTGTACCACTTCTAGTGCCCAGCGATGAAGGCAGTGAGACTTCGCTGTAAATACTCGGGTTCCGATCATCCCAGAAATTCTTCGTCGGCCATTCGCGGGAGTTGGATTCCCCTATTGTTTGATTGTAGGCACTGTAGAAGCGGGTCACTGGCTTTGGCATTTTGGCTTGGGCTGCTGTCGGCTTTTCTTCGTCAGTGGGGCGTTGGATGTCTCTGCTAGGGTGAATCCGGGTCCTGCCTGCTCCGCCGATAGATGGTGCTTCTTGTGGGGATATGGCTGGAGAGGATGTGTCAGGTTCATTCGCATTCGCATTCGTGTTGGCGTCGCTTTCGTTGAGCGAGCTGACTGGGCTATCGAGCGTCGTTGGCTTGGATGGCCACTCGCTGTTGAATTGCGGACTGTAATGGAATGGAACCGGGCTTGACGAGCAGGATCGCTCCCGTTGGTTATCTTCTTCGATCGTTGTTGCTAGACTCTGGCACCGGGAGCGGCATTCTGATGATGGGCTGTGTGGTGGTGAAGCGGAGGGTTGTTTGTTATAGAACCGTGCTGAGCTATTTGCGCGCGAGACGTTGTTGCCGTGTGGTCTGGCTGGTTGGCGGGGAGAATTGAAACTCATACTAACGCCGGAATCATGTCTCTCCGTGCTTTCTGTTTCGGGCCCGGTTGGTTTGGGCGCCGGCAGAAGAAGAACATTCTGTGTCAAAGATGAAGGAGCTACATCGACACTAGACTGACCAGCGGGATTTTGTCCATCTGTCGAGAGTGGCACGGCGCTCCCATAGGACAATCCGGCTGGAATGCCACGGTCAATGGTGTGCGATAGCATAGCACATGCATGTTTGATATCAGCTTCGAGGTCTGCTTCGATCTCTTGGCGGTCAATGAACGGTGATGCAGGGCGGAAGTAACCCGGCTCATCTGTGAAGCTGTAGCCCCGGAAGGGATCGGGGTTCCTGCTGTCCCACGTTGACTCGTCATGGGTGGGAGACACGGGATTCGTCGCTGACCGGGGGCGACTGCTTGATGAACGGGCTTCAATGGGTGAGACTAGTGTAGATTCCAGGCCACGCGCGGAGCTGCTTCTAGTGAAGGTCAGACGGTGGCGTATTTTGGTTGCTTTTGCTGATAGCTTGCGCTCCATCTCAGAAAGTTGTTTCTTTGTCTATGTCCCAGTCTCAAGGAATCGAATGTATGGGAGATGAAAAGATGAAAGATTCTAAAAGACAAACAAAGGAAATGGCTGGTCCAAGTGGAGTCTCAAAGGCTCCAATGCACCAGATCAAATCCAGGCAAATTCCTCAACTATGTGAATATCAAGGAAGGTTCGAAGAAGCGTTGTCGGCACAACTGGTCTGGTATGTGGAGAAAAGGAATGTAGAGAATCTATCTGACTGGGACTACGGGATAATTAAATATTAAATATTAAACAGTACATATTAAAAATTAAAAAGGATAATTACTTGAAACAATACTAACAATACTAGTTCATAGTCAATAAGAACAGGGTAAAGATAGTGATGTTACTAGAGCTTGCATAAACAAAAAAGAAAAGATAGGACCCAACGGGGCTAACAGGGCCAACAAGGCCACCAGGGCCAACAGGGCTAGATCGGCATATCAATTCCAGGGAGATAACCTCCATGTCCACTTGGTCTTTTCTTTTTGGGTTTTCTACAAATTAGAATTTTAGAAAATCCAAGACATTAGTATCCAATCCTGTCCAATCCTATCCAATCCGATTCAACTATTCAACTATTCAACTATTCGGCTATTTAGTTATTCAGCTAAATAGGTTATTAATGGCATATGAAATGGGTCTAAGCGCCCAGTACAGATGTAGTTAGACCCATGCACTTTGTGACTCAAATTGGGCGGCCATTTGGGGGGCCTTATGCGCCATCTAGACCTTGGAATATTGGAATATATAGCTATTATGAGGAAATAAAATACGTATGCTGTACTTATCTAGTATTTCCCTAGTATATCCCATCACAAGTACATGTTTTCAATAGCGCTGGACCTTCAAGCCTCACGCCACCTAATCTTGTTCCTGACCATTCAGCTCGGGCCAACTTATCTTAAACTCCAAACCCTTTTTTTTTTCTCTCCCACTTTCAAATCCAAGGGCTTTCTTTCTTATTTGGCCATGGCGCTACTCAGTTTCTGTGGGGTCTCCGATTTGGGTATACATCATAAACTGGATCTACGAGACACCCTCTTATGAGGTCTTCATGAATACACATATTCTATCCAGATGTCTAGATATGTTATTTTCTATTTATTTAATTTTTAATTTAAACGATGCGACATGCGTGTCGCAAAGATAACCAACGGCTATCAATACCGAATACGGACCCATCACCTCCGGCGGAGCGAGTATCCCCCCCGGAAGGAATTGACCCAGAGGGCGGGTCTGATGGAGAGCAGTTGGATGCTTCTTTGACAGTCTCCTCGGACAAGGACAAAAGGGCCAAGTGAGAGACGGGAGAGGCAGTTGGATGCTCATCTCCCTGACTGGCGGAACGGAAAAAAGAACGGCAACCTACTTCCCCTGATGCGCCATGACATCTATCCGGTCGCGGACCCCTACACGGGATTCAGGACCCAGACTAGAGCATGGGATTGGCTGCAGAAAGAACTGCGCCTGACAATAACTGTTTGTGATTTCAACGCTTTACCAAGCGGTGATATCCTCCACCTCGGCCTCACCGAAGGTGCTGCTCTTCGTCAACTTAGTGACACTGGCCACAGCAGCGGCACCATCGGCGCTGGACTTGGCCATGATATCGGGCAGGACTTCATGGAAGAACTCGACAATGTGGCGGTTAACTTGCTCAAATTGAAGCAGGAACGCGTCGTGGCCTTCGGGACTATCGATCCGCTTGAGGCGAGAATCGGGGATGCCAGCGGCAATCTCTTGTTGCTCCGCGAAGGTGAACAAACCATCCGACTCGATGCCAAGAACTAAAGCCGGCTGTTGTACGCGTCCGAGGGCCTCGAGGACAGTATCCTCAGTGTCGGCGCCGGCATTGCCGCGGCGGCGGGACACGTCGTGCGTATCAAGCTTGCGGGTCATGGCGATGTAGCAGTTGGCATCGAATCGCTTGACAAATTTGTCACCCTGGTAACGAAGATATGACTGCGCAGAGAAGTAGGTCGGTGGGCGAGGACGGCCGGATGCAGTCAGCTTGGGCTTTGCGTCGACTTCGGGGGCAAATGTCTTGGTGCCAGAGAATTGCGGGTCCATGAACTGGACCTCGGCCTCATTCATAGGAGCCGGTGAGCCTTGTCTGCTCTCCGAGCGTGAAGTTGTTCCGCCACGGTGTCCGTCGTTGTGGATGGCCCAGTGCTCGTTCGGGGGAGTGGGCAACTTCTCGGTGCCGTTGATGTTTCGCGGCTTGGTTGGATCCGGTACATTGCGACCGAACCGAGACTCGAATGAGTTGCGGCTACGGTAAGTGAGAAGTGCCGACATGCGAGCTGCACCGAGGCCGGTGGATGGCGGGTCGTCAAATGCATAGTAGCCATCGTCATACTTCGGGTCACTGTAGATGCTCTGCCGCTGTGCCTCGCCCCAGCTGATGCACCATGCGGAATGGCGTGCTGAAGTCGCAATTGGCACAATAGCTCGGACATAATCTTTGCCGAAAAATGCGTATTCCAAGGTGAGCATTCCACCCATGGATCCTCCGACCACCGCAGCAATCTGCTTCACACCGAGATCATCCAGGACAAGTTTGTGGATGTTGACATCATCACGAACGGTCGTTAAGGGGAACTCGGGTCCATAGTAGCCATTTTCAGGCTTACCATCCTTGTAGGTTACCGCACTTGCACTTCCGTACGGGCTACCCAAACTGTTCAGGCAGATCACGAAGAACCGAGAGACATCAAATGCTTGACCAGGACCACCAAGAAGAGGACCCCACCAGTCAGCGACATCGGCACTGCCACTAAGAGCATGACAAATCACCAGCACATTATCACCAGTGGGAGCAAGTGTTCCACGCGTGGTGTATGCTACTGGGACATTGTAAAGGGTGACACCGGATTCGAGTTTGAACGAGGGGATGATCGCGATCGATTGATCCTCAATCAAGTGGGCGTAAGGGTTCTCAGGTTGCGAATCGACTCTCTCTACGGGATTTAGTAGCCGTTCAGTAAGTAAGAATGGGGGAGATAGACTGACGGTATTGCGCAGTAGGGGCACTGCTAGTTTCAACCATTGTGAAATAAAATTAAAACAAGCAACAATATGTAAATGAAGAAGGGGAAAAAAAAAACCAAGAAATGGAAATTGACAACAGGGTGTGTACTTGTAGTAACAAAATCGAGTGAGTCAAAAAACCCCGCAACCTCCGATCCCGCTGGCAGAAAATAAAGCGGTAATCGATCACGTGTAAAGTGTCACGTGTGGCTAGGGCTCGCTCCACACTTGACCTTTTTTTCATCTGTGCGAATTTTCTTCTTCTGTAGCCAACCATCCAACAAAACTTCTTACGAGCCAACCCCTCAAAACATTCAAAATGGTCAAGACTAAGAAGTCCGGTGACACCCTCTCCTCGCGCCTGGCGCTTGTGATGAAGTCTGGCAAGGGTAAGCAGATAGTCTCGATCGCACAAATGAGCAATTCGCTAACAACTTCTCTCAGTTACCATGGGTACCAAGTCCACCATGAAGACTCTCCGCTCTGGCAAGGCCAAGCTCGTCCTCATCTCCGGAAACTGCCCTCCTCTGCGCAAGTCCGAGCTTGAGTACTACGCCATGCTCGCCAAGACCCCCGTTCACCACTTCAACGGCAACAACGTACGTTCCATTCCCCTTTCCTTCAGGTCGGCAGCCTGAAAAACCGGCTGTCGTACCTTGGATCAGCTACACTACTCAGAGAAGAAGTCGGTCAAAACTACCACTTCGGAGAGTGAAGTTGCTCAGCGAAGGGATCACCGCAAGGCATCCCGGAGAGCGAATTGGACTAACTCGCCCTATAGATTGAGCTCGGTACCGCTTGCGGTAAGCTCTTCCGCTGCTCCGCCATGGCTATCCTCGATGCCGGTGACTCCGACATCCTGAGCCGTGAGGCTTAAGCGTGTCGCCTTGTTGCGAGCCATAAACAAAAATAGAATCTTGAACCATTCTTGAACAAAAAATTTCCCACGAATAATGAATTACGGATCTTCTGAACTAGGCATATTCTAGATAGCGTGCCAAGATACTGGTCCACTTTGTTAAATGCGCTCGTCTTCGGACGATGTCCGCCATTTCGTAGAATAGCCTAAAATGTAACACCTAAAATGCATTCCATTATTGTGAGTCCTCCCGTTCCTATCCAGCTTAGGCTTTATCTAGTACTTATTGGGCTTCGTTCCGCTGGTCTCTATTTCATGTTGGTTACCTATTAGCCTCAAGGTACACCCAGTGGCCAACAGTATTGTATATTATCATGAAAAGGCTTGTGGCTTGGGTACAAAAAAAACCTCGGATAGATTGACAATCTGAGCTTACAGACCCGTAATTCCAACGTGAATCCTAGATTCCCTTCATATACAAATGTCCACACGTCTTCTTCCCGATTGGGTCCTTTTCTTCGAGTCTCTCCGAGGTAGAACCTAGTTAAGATCCTACTTTGGTGGCTCTGCCAACATTAGGCGTGAAGAAATTCAGCATTTATGTGCGTGCCAAATCAACCCCCACACGACTCCGCAATCTTTGCGGGGAAAGAGTATAAGTCCATATAGCCTGTATTTCTTGGCTTTGACGGATTTCTTATTTAGCCTGAAGTTTTTCCGACAACTATGTGCCATCGGCGAGTCTTCCGATGTTCGCAGCCAGTTTCATATAAAGGGGGAACTTGATCTGCACTGGGTGATTAGATATATGTTTCCCCGGACCAGAATCTGTAGCTATAATGCGTGCACTTCTCTTCTTCGCCTCCTTGGGCTTTGCAGCCGCTGAGAACGGCCTCAATGGCTGGCTGCGGTACGCACCATTACCCTGTCCAGGCCAATGCCATCCCAACCTCCCTTCGAGTATCGTCACCCTCAATGCGACTGAGACAAGTCCGGTATATGTTGCGGGAACGGAGCTGCAGAGTGGTCTCAAAGGTGTTTATGGGAAGAGTGTGCAAGTCACGCACAACAAGTGCAAAACATCCTCCTCGGTGGTTGTTGGTACGGTTGATCAATATCTGGAAATCTGTGGCGCTGTGAAAGATGTACCCGAACTGGAAGAAGATGGCTTTTGGCTCGATACCAAGGGGGAAAACGTTCAAATCCTTGGGCAAAACGAGAGGGGTGCTCTCTATGGCACCTTTGAATATTTGTCGATGCTTGCACAGGGAAACTTCTCCAAGGTCGCCTATGCTTCTAATCCTTCTGCGCCTATTCGCTGGGTCAATCAATGGGATAATTTGGATGGAAGAATCGAACGCGGCTATGGTGGCCCCTCCATCTTCTTCAAGGACGGTCAGATCGTCGATAACCTAACCCGTGTTGCTGAATACGCCCGTTTGTTGGCCTCGATCAGAATTAATGCTGTCGTCATCAACAATGTCAATGCGGATGCTGCCCTCTTGAATTCCACAAACCTCGACGGTGTGGCTCGAATCGCTGATGTCTTCCGCCCATACGGTATACAAGTCGGCCTATCGCTCAATTTCGCATCCCCTCAGACGTATGGAGGGCTCAGCACTTTTGATCCCCTCGATGCATCCGTCATCGAATGGTGGTCGAATATTACAACCCAGGTCTATGATCGAGTTCCTGACATGGCTGGCTACCTGGTCAAGGCTGATTCGGAGGGAGAGCCAGGCCCCCAGAAATATAACAGAACGCTCTCAGATGCAGCGAACCTTTTTGCCAAAGAAATTCAGCCCTACGGTGGCATTGTTATGTATCGCGCGTTCGTCTACAATCAGCTGAACGAATCAATCTGGACGGATGATCGTGCAAAGGCTGCCGTGGACTTTTTCAAGGATCTAGATGGCGAATTTGACGACAATGTGGTGATCCAAATCAAGTACGGGCCTATTGATTTCCAGGTCCGTGAGCCAGCATCGGCATTGTTTGCAAATTTGTTCAACACCAGCATGGCCATTGAACTGCAGGTTACGCAAGAATATCTTGGACAACAGTCGCATTTGGTCTATGTTGCTCCTCTTTGGAAGACGATCTTAGACTCTGACCTCCGCGTCGACGGCCAGCCATCACTTGTTCGCGATATCGTGACTGGTAAACGGTTCAATCGCAAACTGGGTGGATCAGCAGCTGTTGTCAACGTGGGTACAAACACCACCTGGCTTGGTAGCCACCTGTCTATGTCAAATCTATATGCCTATGGTCGCTTAGCTTGGAACCCAGCAGATGACGCCCAAGACATTCTGCAAGACTGGATCAGACTGACCTTTGGGCTGGACCGGAAGGTACTTGACACCATCACTCGCATGTCCATGGAATCTTGGCCCGCCTACGAAAAATACAGTGGAAATTTGGGCATCCAGACTTTAACAGATATTATATACACTCACTATGGTCCCAGCCCTGCATCCCAAGACAACAATGGATGGGGCCAATGGACCCGCGCAGACCAAACTAGCATTGGAATGGATCGGACAGTGGCAAACGGCACAGGTTTTTCGGGCCAGTATCCGGATGAAATCGCTGCCATGTATGAGAACATCGACACCACACCAGACGACCTTCTACTATGGTTCCACCATGTGAAATACACCCATCGTCTGCACACGGGGAAGACCGTTATTCAACACTTCTACGATGAACACTACAGCGGGGCGGAAACTGCACAGACATTCCTTAGGCAATGGGAATCACTTCGCGGCAAAATTGATACTGAGCGATACAACCATACTCGGCACTTCCTAGACTACCAGAGCGGTCACTCAATTGTGTGGAGAGATGCGATCAATGACTTTTATTACAATCTTTCCGGGATCCCTGATCAAGCCAAGCGTGTCGGCCACCACCCATGGCGCATCGAAGCGGAAGACATGAACTTAGAGGGCTACAAAACCTACACCGTTAACCCCTTCGAAACAGCTTCTGGTTCGGTTGCCATTGTTACAACTTCCAACACTACAGCCGGCACTGCTTCAACCAAAATAAACTGCCCCTCTGGCACCTATGACCTTGCAGTGAACTACTACGATGTATACGGTGGCCAGTCACAGTGGAAAGTCTATCTGAATAATCAGGAAATCGGACAATGGGTTGGTAATAGTGAGGATACCTTTAGCCACACACCTTCTATCTATTTGGATGGGCATTCGGCGATTCGTATCAAGTTCCGGGGTGTCGAAATTCACAAGGGTGATACTTTGAAGATTGTCGGTATGCCTAATGGCACTGAGCCGGCGCCATTGGACTATGTGGCTTTGCTGCCAGCGGGTATTGTAGATTAGAGCCATTCTTGCCAATGACTAGATTACTATGAATATATCCATGTTGCCTGTTCTCCAAGTGCAAAGATTTACTTCAACCACTGGGCATGACAATCTTCTAAAATATGTGGAGAAGAGTGGTAATAATAAAGCTGGTAAAAGTAACATCACGACTTAGTCCAAAGCAAATAATGTGCATTTTGTTCTACATGTGTAGAATTTGAAAACTTCCCATCCATCAAAAGTGCTGGTTCCAAGTTAAGGCTGGAGGCAAGCCTATCTTCCTACTGGTAAACAGCTCGGTCTGGCATCGATATCCTTTTTTTCCGGAGTGATGGAATTGCTGCATCTTCACTTTTTGTAAATCTATGGTCTCGACCACATGGCCGCAGTTGCAGACAATTTTAGTGAACTGCCATTGATATAGATTATAGTAATGCTGGTTGACTTCAGCCGCATCAGATTTATCAGGTCCCCCTTGATGTGTTATATATAGCCAATGTATGTGCTCGGACTAAGACCAAGTATCTAAATTTTGTTAATCTTTCTCAAATAGATCTTTTTTTTCTATACCTGATTTACTTAAATGATTGATAGAGGTAGGTATAGTAGTTGTAGTTTCCGGTTGCATCCCATTGATTGTTCAGACAAGAGTGACGCTAGTCCAAATGTAGCTAGCACCCTACATCATCGGCGCGCATTTCCATCGCGTCCTGCGTTTCAACCAATTGTCTTATTCTTTTTGATATAAGCAATTGATCTCATCTCATCCAAACTTTGCCTTCCACAACGACCTTTGATGCGGAGAGTCTGTCATCATGAGCGACTATTCATCGTTGAAAGTGGCTGATTTGAAGGCCGAGTGCAAGAAGCGCGGCGTCCCTCAGACTGGCCTTCGCCTCAAGCAGCAGTTCATTGACAAATTGATTGAGCTTGACTCACAAACAAACCAGGTTACAACCGAAGAAGCGGCTCTAGCAGAAGAACCCACCGAACCACAGCCATCTGCGCCGGATGCTGTTTCACAAGAAAAGTCTCAGCCCGAACAACCGCAGGATGAAGAGCTTGAACAATCAAAGGAAGAACCAATTTCACAACCCGCGGAAACAACAGCACCTGTGTCAGGATCGGATCGAGCTCAAGATAGACAAACACAAGCAGATGAGCCGACCCAAGGAGAGGCAGTTTCGGCAACTGATGTGAAATCGCAAAATGTTGAACATATCGCAAAGCCTGCGGAGGAGGCACAAGCAGAGACAATTACCCCCAAAGATCAAACCCCTACAGCTGCACCTTCCCAGCCACAAATGGATGAGACAGCCCAAGATGCGAAGAACGAGGACCCCAAGAAGACACAAGAAAAATCAGTCTCCGCTGCCCAAACATCTGAGGTTGACACCGGATTATCGACACCTCTCCTAGTGGAAGAGGCATTGGAGGATACACGCAAACGGAAACGCCGCAGCCAGAGCCCTGCTCCTACTCTAGAAGAGATTGCAAATAGGAAGGCTCGCGCGAAGGAAACAACCCCACGCGTGTTGCTGAAAGACGATGAGGTGCCAGTTTCGCGCGACAAGGGGCTCAATGATTTAAAATCTGAAGACCAAAAAGCAGCGGAGGACCACACAGACAAACAACCTATCGAGACGCAAACAGACTCGCACAAAACCCCAACCAAGCAAGACGCTCGGTTCCGCAACCTGTTTCCACCTGCTGGTGCATCCTCCCAACCTGCCTCCCCCCGAGAGATGTGACAATGCAGGATGTGGACACCACCCCCGCGTTGCACGCTGCAACTTCTGCCCTCTACATCGACGGCCTCATGCGGCCCCTCCAGCCGGTTGCACTCCGCAAACACCTGGCCAGCCTCGCATCCACCCCCGAAACCACAGATTCCGATGCCATCATTGACTTCTATCTCGATTCTATCAAAACCCACTGTTTTGTGAGCTTCACCAGTCTCGCAGCAGCTTCGCGGGTTCGTTCTGCCGTTCATGGGACTGTGTGGCCCAACGAACGCAATCGCAAGAATCTCCGAGCAGATTTTATCCCTGACGAGAAGATCAAGGAATGGATTGAGACAGAAGAGAAATCCCGAGACCGCGCTGGCCCTGCTGCCCGTTGGGAAGTGAGATATGAGACATCTGATGATGGAACCACGGCTACTCTTGCTGAGGTGGGCTCCGCTCCCTCTGGGCGACGTGAATCAGGTTTTAACCGTACTCCTCCCTTGGGCCCGCGCCGCGATACTGAACAGTTTGACCGTCGCCCTTCCGGCGTGCCTCCCGCGGCTCCCGGCCCCCCATCACGACCTGGGCAGGGTTTTAAGCCCCTGGATGAATTGTTCGAATCTACTACTACAAAGCCAAAGCTGTACTACCTTCCCGTTCCACGCCCCGTCGCCGATAAACGTCTAGATCAATTCGATGAGCTGATTCAGAAGGGCACATTCCCACGTCGTGGTGGTGATGAGATGCGGCGAATCACTTTCGAAGATGAGGATAAGTTCGTGGACATCGGCCCTGAACGATTTGGACCTGGCCCTCGATCTGGTGCCGGTCCTCGTGGACGGGGACGTGGTGGACGGCGTGGGGATTCATGGCGCTCTTGAACTTTCGGTTAAAAAAAAGATCTTGCGGTTGGGCCATACTGTTATTGGCCGTGTACAATAAATCATTAGTGACTCTAAAACGCTATGAAAAAGAACCAATATGAAAAGAATCAGAGGATGAAAGAACCAAAGTATCTAAAAGTGGGCAGTGTTATAGTATATATATTATCAGCCTCAATTCGACCAAGATATATGTTGAGGGTCCACCTAAAGGGGCTGTCAAAGAGCCAAGCAAATAAAAATAGATCAAAGACTAAGCCTTTTCAGCTTCCGATGATCCCTAAGAAATCGGCAGATTTTCAAAAACTGACAGGTTGTGCATAAGCCAAGAGAACGCCATATCCGTGTCTTGTATGGACATAGTTGTTTCTTCAATATTTTCTTGATCTTTGGTGGCGTCTTCCCCTGTCGATCCGGATAAGAGATAAAGGGGGAAAAAGGGTTCACTCTATCATCAGTCCTCTTTTGCCATCTTTCACCCTATCAGCCATCATGGGCTGGCCAGTGTGCAATACCACGGAGTCCGAAACAAGTGTGTTGCCCCTCCTTGAATAACTTTGCAGTGACTGATCGGAAACAGTTAAGGAGGTCGCACTTTGGGATGGAGGCATCTCATTTCATGTCCTAGCGCTCCTGGTGGGCGGCGCTTGCGCCATCATCGCCTGTGTTGTATCTTTGGTCCTGATTATGCTACATGCCACACATTACAGCAAGCCGATCGAACAGCGACAGTGAGTCCCCCTTCTCTTTGGCCGTTAACGCGTAATACGAGCATTGCTGACATGGTCTTCATCCCCGTCCCAGTATTATCCGTATCCTATTCATGGTCCCCGTCTATTCCCTTGTCGCATGGCTCAGCATATTCTTCTACCATGACTCCGTCTACTTCGAGGTCCTCGGAGACTGCTACGAAGCGTTCTGTATCTCCGCCTTCTTCTCTCTCATGTGCCACTACATCGCTCCGGATCTACACAGCCAGAAGGATTACTTCCGTGGAATCCAACCAAAGACATGGCTCTGGCCGTTGAATTGGCTTCAGAAATGCTGTGGTGGTGAGCGCATCTGGCGGACTCCGCGCAGTGGATTGACATGGTTCAATGTAAGATGACGGACTTGGGCAGATGTTGAGGAGTTCCAGGGAACTGATTATTGTACAGATTGTTTGGGTCGGGGTTTTCCAATACTGTGTGATGCGCGTTCTTATGACCATCGTTGCCGTTGTCACACAGGCTTTTGGGGTGTACTGCGAAGCATCGCTGAGTCCCGCATTTGCGCATATCTGGGTACGTCTGAAGCGGTGACCAACTTTTTGTTTCATCCCCAGTCGGTCCGCTAACAATCTATTGATAGACCATCGTCATCGAATCGGTCTCTGTCACCATCGCCATGTACTGCCTGATCCAGTTCTACCACCAGACCAGCCAAGACATTAAGCAACATCAGCCATTCTTAAAGATCCTGTCGATTAAGCTCGTCATTTTCCTGTCATTCTGGCAGTCGGTAAGCTCTTTTAGCATCGTCTCATAAAGTGACTTATTAACTTGTGTTTCCACATTTTAGACACTCATCAGCCTTCTAGTCTCCAAGGGTGCTATCGCAGCGAATGATAAAATCGCCCTGAACGATCTCAAAGTTGGACTCCCGGAGCTGATGATCAACTGTGAGATGGCTATATTTGGTATACTCCATCTCTGGGCCTTCTCATGGAAGACCTACGCCCTCACCAACCAGTCAAGTGAAGTGACCGATTTCTACGGCAACGGCAAGTCCGCATACCAAGGTGGACGCTACGGCATACGGGCCTTGATTGATGCCATGAACCCATTGGACCTCCTCAAAGCCATTGGTCGAAGTGCCCGCTGGCTGTTCGTCGGCCGCAAAAGTCGTATGCTGGACCCTAGCTATCGGCCACAAGACGGGTCTCTCGGCCTCCAGCCACCCCAAGAGGGCAGCGAACTCACCCAACATGGAACGGTTTACCTTGGCGCTGAAACGGCCATGTCCGGAGGCCGAACGGGCCGCTATGGGGACACGCCCTACGAAGAGGGCGACGTCCTTCTCGCTCACGCACAACCCAATCCCGAGATCGCGCTCACGGGCACTTCGCCGTATGCGTCGGATATCGGTGACCATGTCCACAACCCGTCTAGATCGTCTAGATTTTACGAGCGAAGCCCGTCACCCTATGAGGATTCCTCGCTTCACAGCCATGACAATCTGTACTCGGAATCGCCGGTTCACCCTTACCCATCTGATGGTCCTCTCCGGGAGCAAGTCCCTATGCCCATGCCCGATCCTTACCATCCTCCTCCTCCGTACCCTGGCAACCATCATCATGTATGATCCATGTCCATGATACAATTATGACTCGACGTATACATCTCATTGGCAGGGCTTGCTTTGATATGCATGTCCCCCCTGCGATTGAGCTGCAAACGTATTACTCTTTTACCTCACGCTACCCATGAGCACTTCCAGATTTTTGCGCTTTTACTTCTCTTTATGTCCCATTGTTTGGATAGGTATGGATACCCGCCTGTTTGCATAGCGGCATGTTTTTGTTTTTGTCTTATCCCTTTTCTTTATCTGTCATAACCCCATCGGTGCACATGCTTCTGGCATTGCTATGGGTTTACATTTGTTTGTATAGTATCGTCTGGACCCGACCTGTAGTATCACCGATTGAATATGGGAAAATGAAAAATATGAAATCATATCGAAGCTCGTTATTTCGTCTAAATGGCCTTAAATGGACCTAGAAAGCAATACCGTCTAAGCAAAGCAAATAAAATCTAGGCCCAAGATCCGGCATATTGCCATTTGTGGGGGGTATTTTCATGGGCTGATTGTGGAAACACTGAAGAAAAGGCTAATATCACGAATACATCCCACTGCCAGGACCGCCACGTCCACCCTGGCCATAGAACTCGTCATTGAAGCTCCTTTGAAGCATGGAGGGATCCTTGCGGGCGGTGGCTACGTGACGCGTAGCCTGAACGACTGCGGATTTCCGGCCCAGTTCGCGCATTGCCTTGACGTTGTCAGTGAGTTGGCCGAGTAGCGAGATTAATAGCACGTCGTTGCTTTGCGAGAGTACTTCGGTGGTGAAGGTGCTTTGCTCCGACGGAGAGAGGATGGACAGGTGTGAGAGGAGAGAGTTAACGTTGCGGATGATTGGGTGTGACAGCTTGGTGGCGGATGTATTGCCCTTTGATTGATCCAAGCCGAAATCTGCTTCTGAGAGACTAGAGAGGTATGATTTGATGAGGGAGACGCGGGATTCGAGGGCGCGAACAGCGTTGAGACGACTGCTGAGGCTTGCGATTACTTTTCAATCGGTCAGTATCAATCATCCAAGGAGCAGTTGTGTTGAGACTGGGAGAACTTACATTCTTCTTCCTCTTGTGAGAGTTCAACCTGCGAGCTCTGCTTATTTGACTCTGTCTGTTCTGTCTGCTGCGCATGCTTGGTTGGCTCCTGTGTCGCATTCAAAGAAGCGGTACCAGAAGCTTGAACAATAGTATCGATACCAATCATCTCTGATTCCCCTGTTTCCACTGAGTAAGGCAGCTCCCTGAATCTGATATTCAGCACCGGCTCCTCGCCATCAACCTGCATGTCCTTGCTTGCATCGGGAGCAGTCTCGCCTTCGTGGACACTCTCATACACGGTCAGAGGAAGCTTGCCTCCATTTGAACTTGAACCTTGGAGCTGTGAGGGGTGGAAGGATAGGAAGACGGCAGATTCGTTGTAGTCCTGGAGGATCTGTCGGTGGAGGGGGAGATGGGCGTCAGTCGGCCCGGTCGATGGCGCGGTTGACCACCATCCAACAAGGTCTAGAGCGGGGCTTTTGTGCACATCCTTGACTATTATATGGTCAGTTCGTACTCACTAGGAACGGCGCTAATTGATCTTGTGAGAGGTTCCACGTACACTGCTGGAGACGTTCTTGAAACCATGCCGCTGGCAAAATAACCTCATCGTTCAGTCCGCATGTAACCGGGCACTCGAATGCATGCTCTAGTGTTATCTCTCGTCCGTTCTGCTGGCCTAGGAGACCGCCAATTATCGGCCCATGCTGCTGTCGGGCAGCGTGTCGAGTAATTTGGTCGGAGACAGTGAGAAGAACGAGAGGGTGTAGCTGGATATGGAGACCCGAATCGGATGACTTTCGAGAAACTAGAGACTGTGGAGGCTCCATAATCGTAGGCTGTAATCCTGGCATGTAGAGGAATGTGTTGTGAGGGACAAAGTAGTAAATACGGTTGGTTGATGCGGTCATGTTTGGTAGGTTTGGTGTTGGTGCCTGAGGCATAAATGAGCTTTCCCCGCGGCGCGAAGGGCGAGCTTCACCTGTCACGAACGCGTCCATTTCAGGTTTAAGTCTGTAACTGGTTTTAGAAGAACTGAAGATATTTGAAGAAGTCGCAATGTCAGTTCCTTCGACATTTGATGCAGTGAGATTACACCTCGCTCAAGTCCAGGAGAACCCCTCCACGGCCTTGGACATTCCTCTCATCGACAAGTTGAAGTTGCAACTAGTCGAATCCACCGATCCTGTGGTCCCTGCCACTCTTCTATCGCAAATTTCTGTGCTCCTTCCCATCTTGCAAGAAGACCCTACGCCTATTACAAACCTTGGAATCAGAGCCACTGCCTACTTCACCTTCACCGATCTCCAATCTATCGATCCTCCGATCAATTTTGTCGCTGGCTTCAAGGCGCCATCACCACCAATCAATCTCCTAGCTCTCTCACTGTTGGCTAAAGCTGGGGAAAAATACAGTGAAGCTGCCATAGTTGCAGGCGATTCAGATTTGGTGGCTTCACTCGTGGAGCTGTGGCTTTCAACATCGTCGGGCGAAGTTGCACAGGCTGCACTCGACACATTATGGGCGCTTTTGGAGGTCGACGTCGCTAATCACCTGGAAAATGGAGAATATGAGCATACTGGCGATGAAAGTCATACAGGACAGGGACTCTTGTGGAGGAGGGTATTCACTGATAAGGATGTCTACGGTTTATTGTTCGGGCTATGTAGCCTCCAGAGCGATGCCCCTGGTAGTCTTTCTAAACGTGAAAGAACGCTCGCACAGGGCAGGCTAATGACACTCTTGGTGAAAGCCGGAAATCTACGCTGGGATATCATTTCAACAACCCAAGTACCGGAAATCGAGGCTAAATACCAGAGCAGTAGTCTCCTGCATTTTGCAACCTGCCATATGGTTCAAGTGAGCGATGTCTTGATGCATATGACGCTACTCAACTTCTTCCGCGAGCTGCTAGAGATCGATGGACCGGGCCTCGTCGCTCGAAGCTCTGTGCAGTCTACTTCGACTTTCTCGTCCCCTGCCCTCGACTTCCTTGTCGAACACAAACTGCATTCTAAAGTGCTGACTTATTATCTCGATGAGTCCAAGCTGGACTCGGTAGATCTTCTCTACCTTTCCGGCCCAGTCATGGCATATGTGGCCCGGTACGCCGAGATGTATCCCAACCACTTGCTGCAGAACCCCTCTACCCTACTTGACGGGATTATTTCCCGCATCAACAGGTCTCTCACCATTCCTACCGCGCAATGGGCACATGGTGAAGTACCTACAGGTCACCTTGCTATTTTAGCTTCACTTCCCCGAGTACTTCTTATAGAAGCAGGCAAACATGGTGCCAACCCGGTTCTTGCAATTCCCACAACCCCCCAAAATGGCGAAGCTCTGGATGTTCTGGCCAAAGTTTTCCACGGACCTCAGCGAACTGGAATTTCTGATTCAATGAATTTGAACACATCCGGCTCAACTCCAACTGACTGGGACCGCGAAGCAGCTGCAGCGCGAATTCTCTATTTCCTTTATGTCAACCAACACCCCACTTTCTGGGACAATGTGGTGGGCGCTGCCGATGTCCTAGTGATGAAAGATATTGCGTTGTCGGCCATAACTTTTATGAGAGCTATTGCCACAGCCAACTGGAAACCCTCACCTTCAGCACCCGCCAACGCCAATTCATCACGGTTCCAACTACCCTCCGAAGAGGGTTTGGGTCAGCTATCCCCAGCCACTAATGGGTTTTTCCCTACCTCAGGAGCATGGGCAGTTCTCACTCCACCTGCCCTGACTACCCTTCTCCCATATCTTTTCAAGCCACCTCGCTCCTACGCAGACTTCGTCGGGGGTGGTGCAGGTGATACCCAGAGTGTCGTTTGGAAAGTTGCCACTGCGAAACATGATGTTCTCGTAGCGTTGCATAGCCGGTTGCAAGAAACTGATGGCCAGGTTGAAGGGTTTGAAGATATCATGCGAACGCTACAACAGCGTGTGAATGAGGGTCCCTGGGGACCCGTGCAATCTGGCGGTGCTCAGGTAGTGACTGCCGGACCATGATGTCACAATGAATTTGAAAAGCACATGAAATAGTTCAATGATTGCCATGTAGTCTCATGTTCAATTAAAACAATTTGAATAAAACAATTTGAAGTTCAATAGTCTATTGTCGGAGTACAAAGTAAAGATCTGCGCATTGTTATCTTAGCGTTCACGCGGGGAGGGAATCTGCCAGCCCTAGTGCTGTTTCGGGTGGGCGGTGAAGAAATGTATTTTTCCGGAGTCATGATCATCTGCCCGCAGCTATATCATGAAAAATGATCCATATTCGTTAACCTACATTAATTGACGTTCTATTACCGCAAATATGTCGCGTCGTGGGGCGCCAAAGGGCAAAAAACCCCCCGGTACAGAGTTTACTTGGGACGCAGACCCAGGCGGAGAGCCAGACACAGCTCCAACACCGCTATACCCTGTATGTTTGCTTCTTTGACCTGGCTCTCCAGGAAATCTCCCTCGTTTAATCCAACAATCTCCATTATGTCGAAATTTACAGGTCCTAACTTCCTATGCCCTCAGAAATACACTGTTCCCTTTGCTCGGAAGTTGAGTCCCGCAGAACAAACCCAGGTAGACTACTACCGAGCGTTGCGTGAAAGCTTTCACGAGGGTCCCTACTACTCCGTTCTTGATGCGTCATCTTCCAATGCCAAAAAAGGCAGCGCCGCGCGCGCTAACTTTGACGCTTTCCACGGCATGCCCACTTATTCCGGCCGTTATCAAAAGAAACGGCGCACATTACCCAAGATCACCGGACGGTCTTATTGTAAGTTTACTGCCAGCATTAATTTTTCTATGGCTACAGAAGACTGACCCCGAATGCTTGAACTGTTCAGTCTTGAAATTCTTCCCCCGCGAGCTATGGCAAACCCTCCAGCCAAACTTCCGACCCGACGCGTCCTTGGATGGCTACCAGGCCCAGGCTTCAGTCGCTGGAGTGAAGCGCGGTTTCGAAGACGAAGAAGACGAAGCTGGACCTGCGAAGCGCACAGCTGGCGGTGAAGACGAGGATGAAGGCGACGCAGATGCAGATGAAGCTGGATTGCTTGATGGGGATGATGAACAGGAAGAGGAAATTATGGATGATGACTTCTCCGAAGATGATGATGAAATGGGCGGCGATTACAATGCTGAACAGTACTTCGACGATGGAGAAGATGATATGGGTGATGAAGATGGTGGGGGCGGCGGCGGCGACGATGACTTCTGAAAAGCAGATTCACGATACCCTTTTTCTTTCAATTTAGCCAGCCTCACTGCGGCTCTTCAGCGGTCTGATCCATGCCTCTTTGGTATATCTCTTGTATCTATTCAATGCCACGGTGAATTATTCGGTGTGTTCAGCGCAGATAAGTCTACAGTAACTCAGGCCATTAGCAAGCAAACTAAACACTTCGCACAACATTGGCTAGTTCCTACGCTTGTATACTCCAAGCGAAACGAGCAGTGAGAACTTGTAGCTTCTTCAAGGCCCAGTAGGCAATATGCAAGACAGAGACTTCTGAGTTAACATGAGGACTGTTCTAGAATAAAGGTTGGCCAATACAAAAGTATCTCGTAGTTGACCTACCCTTACATCTCATCACCTCCATTTGGGCTCAGTCCCTATGTCCGCTTGTTCAACTAGAAAAAGCGTACATCACCTCCCTGGGGTTTCATCCCTCTATCAAACTTCTTGACCCACTTTATGATATAACCCCAGAGATATATTACCCTCCTCAAATGCCCATATATTCGAGTCTCCAAAACTGGACGAACATCAACTCGCGGAGGCGGTAAATAGGGCGGTGGGTATTCGATAAGATTGATTGGTTTTTGCGTGACGTCAGCCGATTTTCGGAGGGGCAAAGCAAGGACTGTTCAGACACTTCGACCTTAAAGCGCAGAATGAGCGACACTCAAAGTCCACGTCCCTTGGAACGGTCCGTGCTCATTCTATATGGCTCCGAAACGGGTAATGCACAGGAGGTGGCCGAGGAATTGGGCGCTTTGACCGAGCGGCTCCGTTTTGCGACTCATGTATCTGAGTTGAATCAATGCAAGCCGGTATGTCTTATCTACACGACAGCAATCCTCTAGAGGCCTAATGCCCATGGAATCATAGGAATCTCTTTCCTCATACACACTCACCATATTTGTTGCCTCGACTACTGGACAAGGCGATTTTCCGGCCAATGCACGGTCTTTTTGGAAGTCGCTCTTGTTGAAGAAGTTACCTGCTACCTTTTTGAATGGCATAAATTTCACTTGCTTTGGGCTGGGAGATAGCTCGTATCCCAAGTATGCAAACTATACCACTATTGTGTGGTTCAATGGCTGATTGTGATAGATTCAATTGGGCGATACGCAAGCTCTATAAACGACTATTACAGCTTGGTGCAAATGAGATCTATCCCACGGGCGAAGCAGACCAGCAACATCCGGAAGGGTCAGTAACTTTTTGATCCTCATGCTGTATATCTGTTCACGACTTACATGGCTTGACCAATAGACTTGAGGGAACCTTCCTACCATGGATGACAGATTTTCGAAAGAATTTGCTGGATAGACATCCTCTTCCTGCTGGACAGCACCCGATTCCAGACGATGTGCAGCTCCCACCAAAGTGGAAATTGCAATTAGTGGAAGATAATGATTCCGTCCCAATACCCCAAGCTGCCGCCGCCAATGAACATGAAGCTTCTGCGGATGAATATCCGGGACTACGCCATTTGGATCATGACTCCCGACCCATCCCACATACACTATGTGCGACATTGACTGAAAATCGGCGCGTGACTCCACAAAAGCATTGGCAGGATGTGCGCCATATCACCCTAACCGTCCCTGACTTTGTTTCTTACGTTCCCGGAGACATGATCGCCATCACACCGAAAAGCTCTGCGATTGATGTCCAAACCCTTATTGACTTGATGGGTTGGAACGACCAGGCAGATCGACCAATCTGTCTCGTTCCAACAGGAGATATTCCATCACCGCCACCCATTCTTGGCCTCGACTCATATCCCAACCTAACTCTCCGTGCCCTCCTCGTAGACTATCTCGACATCAAAGGGATACCCCGTCGATCCTTCTTCTCCACAATCGCACATTACACCCACGATGAAATGCACAAAGAACGGTTACTAGAATTTACAAATCCCGAATATCTTGACGAGCTATGGGATTACACTACACGCCCACGGCGTAGTATACTTGAAATTCTGCATGAGTTCGATACTGTCAAAATTCCATGGCAACACGCACTATCTGTTATCCCGGCCATGCGCTCCCGCCAGTTTAGCATTGCCAGTGGCGGAAAACGCAAGCAGACTGCTGATGGCAGTACACAATTCGAATTACTCATTGCCATTGTCAAATACCAGACAGTGATCAAGAGAATCCGCGAGGGAGTCTGTACCAAATATCTCTCCATCCTCCGGCCAGGTAGCACCCTCCAAATCCAGCTGCAGCCCGGCGGCCTCAAATCTTCAGTCCAGCAACTGACCGCAGCAACCGTGCTAATTGGACCGGGCACTGGAATTGCACCCCTTCGCTCTATGCTTTGGGAGAAAGCGGCACTTGTGCAGGCTTACCGCGAGCAAAACCCTGGTGTCAATCCACCAATCGGCCCTACCATTCTCCTGTATGGAGGCCGAAACCGAGAATCCGACTTCTTCTTCGAGAAAGAGTGGACGGAGCTCGGCAAGCTCATCCCGCTACAGGTACTTACTGCTTTTTCGCGTGATCAGCAACGCAAGGTCTACGTGCAAGATACCGTGCGCGAGAACTTCCCGCTCTTTTTCCGTGTGCTGCATGATATGCAGGGGTCGGTTTATATTTGTGGTTCCTCGGGTCGCATGCCCCAAGCTGTGCGCGAGGCGCTTATCGAAGCCTTCCAGCATGGAGGAGCTCCTTCACCGGGGCAGCCTTTCACCCGTTCTCAGGCAGAGGGGTATCTCGTTGGCATGGAACAAATCGGCCGCTACAAGCAAGAAACTTGGTAATAGGTGTGGATATTTGGTTTTCATCACAGCGGAATATGAGACATTTTCCATCTGTGTGTACATACATGTATTTATGGAAAAATGTCGACGGTGCACATTAGCAGAAGGTCACCATTTACGATGCAAAACAATTTCGTAAGAAGGAACATCCAATTATGTTCACGACACCTATATCTACAACCTAGTATGTGTATCAATGCAAATATTGTCTACTACATACCTACCTAGGTATGTAACGGATTTTCTTTGGTCTTCCATGGTCTTTTTTACCTTATTGTTCAATGATTTGTTTGATAGTTTCGATGTCCATATCACCTGGGTACTAGGATACAACGCGAGCTTTTTAGATTGGTTTACTTTATCTCATTTTCCACCTTGCGATGTCACGGTTAGTTCTCAAGCTCTATGGGACTCGGTGTCATGTCACGCACTATAGTTATCGGAGCCTGGTCTATCTGAGCGTAACGCTCAGATATAGTGGTCTTTTTGGCCTAGTTTGTAACTCGCCAGTCCAGGGGCAGGTTGTAACACTCGGCTTCGGTAGGGCCGAATCTGAACATCCGAGTGTACCCCAGGGAGGTGATGGCATCCCCCACATATCCCAGATTACTTGCCCAGTTGCGCTGAATAGATAGGGTACTTCCTAATCACAAATAGCCAAGGAATTTTCCATGATCATGAGGGTACATATCCGAGTCGTTGACTCATCGAACTTGGACCAATCACTTCATCACTACTGGCACAGAATGTATGTACAAAGTGCAATTTTTGGTACAGATGACTTGTCTATTTATTTCTAAGTATGGAGGTACCACGCATTGGCCCCTGATAACGTCGTCGTTCGCAAAACTTGTGCCATGCTTCCTAATGGAACTAGAGACCCAAGGGATCGCGAAGTGCCAACCAGCAGTAGCTCCCTCTGCATTTGTGTTTTGCTCCTCTAGTTTATCTAATTCATCTCTCTGTATAATCTGTCGATTTCAGTCGTGTTACCTATGGTTAACCACAGTCTAGTGCCAAGTTAAGAGTTGATTTTCTTTTTACATATAAGACGTAGCACGGTTGCGCGAGTGGCCTAAGGCGATTGACAAAACCCAACTTCGTTCGCAGGCGCGACATGCAGCCGCCGTTTTCCTTTCCTTTTATTTTGTTTTGTTTTCGGGTCATCCTAATTTTCTCTATGAGTTAGGAATAGCTGGAGAATGATTTGTTGTCTTTGAATATATAATGGAGAATGCAACGAATCTACAGTCTCGAGGGAGGAATCAACATGCCCTGTAGCCCACTAGAAAACAATAGGAAGACATGTATTAGGGCTAAACTTTGACACAACTATACAGTTTATTACCATATCATCCAATTAAAGTAGGCTATTCTTCTCGCCTGGTTAGTCTTGTCAAATGCAAAACAATATTCATTATCACAATATGTAGGCTGTATGGTTAACCTCGGCAGGTTCGGTGGTGTGAATACGGCGAAGAATTGCGGCCATCAGCAACCCCATATCACTTCCAGAGCTAATTGCCGTCCTGTTCTTTTTCCATTAGACTTGTCTGTGTGTCTTGTTCTTTTCTCATTCTTTAGGGAACTTGCTGGTGACTTTGAACTCCTGTTGTTTATTTTGATGCGGTCTACCTAATTATGAACGGTGATGTGAATAGAGGAAGAGATCATCAACGCGTAGTTACAATGAGGTGAGCTAAAATAGATATGTTATTAAATGAGTATATACTACTCCGCACATAGGCTCCTTGTTGTATTTCCCCGGTACAATTACACTCCTTCTGGTCTATGAATTGTCACCATATCCCATATTAGGCACATTGTAAAATACGGTTTCCAGCAACTACTAGTAGGGTAGACAACTTGGAACTGCGCTTAAACAAAAACCAAGCTTTAGCAACACAAATCTGAAAAGGATCGTCGATGCATGTAAAATGTATACGACCTCGACGCTCCGACTTCAAGCGCTTGTTATCATGATGGCCGCAAAGCCTGACGGTACCATGAGGAGTCCCTGGTGCGACGAGGGTTAAACTCGGGCCGCGTCGGCGTTTTTGATTTCTTGGCACTCCGTCACCGCACGCTTTCTTCCTCCGAGCATCCAAACTTCCTTACATCAACTCAGGAATTGGCCGTTGCTCGACTACTGATTACACAAAATGAGTGGCCTAAGGATATTGGTGCCCGTCAAGCGCGTTATCGACTATGCGGTAAGTCAAATGCCAATTCAACTATGGCCCCTCCAAGTGCAGCTTCGGGCGACCGATGCTCGGAGCTGTACCTTTCATTCAACAGGGTCTCCATGACCCCCACCACTCACCCTGGAATTGGGATATCACGGCTGATACCCACCTTTGAATTTAATAGATCAAACCCCGCATCAACAAAGCCCAGACCGGTGTCGAAACCGCTGGTGTCAAGCATTCTCTGAACCCATTTGACGAGCTCTCAATCGAAGAGGCCGTCCGCCTTCGCGAGCGCAAGGGCCCCATTAAGGTCGAAGATATCCTCGCACTTTCCGCCGGTGGCCCGAAATGTCCTGACGTCCTCCGCACCGCCATGGCCATGGGCGCTGATCGAGCCTTCCACATTGACGTACCGGAGAAGGGCGACGGTGGCCCGGAGCCACTGACCATCGCCAAGATGCTGCAGGCCGTTGTTAAGGAGCAGAATGTGAACCTCGTGCTGCTGGGTAAGCAGGCTATTGACGGTGACCAGGGTCAGACTGGTCAGATGCTTGCTGGTCTTCTTGGGTGGCCCCAGGCTACGCAGGCCAGCAAAGTTGACATTAAGGACGAGGCTGGTACCGTTGAGATTACCCACGAGGTTGATGGTGGGGTTGAAACGCTCCGCGCCAAGCTGCCCATGGTTATTACTACGGATCTGCGGTTGAACGAGCCTCGGTACGCCAGCTTGCCCAACATTATGAAGGCCAAGAAGAAGCCCCTTGAGAAGAAGACTCTTGCCGATCTCGGTGTCGAAGACACACGGCGGTTGAAGACTCTGAAGGTTACAGGTATGTGCTTCTCGTGGTTCTGCTATTTCGTTCGTGGGATTGAGCTAATGTTCTGTAGAACCCGCGCCACGAAAGGGTGGTGGCAAGGTCGAGGATGTCGATGGCCTTGTCTCCAAGCTTAAGGAGCTGGGTGCGTTGTAAATGCGCTAAGATTGTTCTTGATTACCCTGTGTTTCTATACCATCGCCTTTGAAATGTTACCCACTAGGTTTGGATTCGTCTTGCCCATTTCTCCCACACTTTCTGATAGCCATGCTGTGTGGCAAGGCATGTGTGCATGTATTGGATGCTAGATCTTTATATAAATGAAAAACGTATTCTTTATAATCGATAGTCTGTGCTAGGTCCACTAGTTCCAATCGGTTGGCATGTTCAATTAGGGATCATATCTGTAAGCAGAGTCATAGTTCGTAGGGGGGCCACACTACTGCAACATCGTGGATCATAATCCGCCACAGCGGCGCTAGAGTGGCTAGATCTCGTTTGCGGTTGAGGAAGTATGTACGAAGCAATAGCCACCCCGTATAGGGATGGCCATATGTATCGTTCTTCTCGGCCTAACCTTGGAAGGTCTATTTATTGAATGCTGGCAAAACTAACCAATCGGAACTCTACAGCGCCCAAGTTGCATCTCAGGCCGAGGCAATACTTCCATTATCAGCCACAGCACCCAACTTTCTCCGATTGGTGATGAAATGTTCCGAGAGCCTCACAGGCAGAAGACCTTTTTTTTAACGGCTGATTTACATTGCAAAAGCACCAAATCGGCACATAAAGATATGGTGCATAATGTTGAAATTCCCCATCGGGGCAAGTACATTAGTGTAGATCTGTTACGAGATCAGCATAGAAAAAGATCTTGCATTATTATACTCCGCAGCCTGGGGATATACTAGACTATGCGCTGGCAATCAGCTGAAAAGATATCTAATGTCAAATTACTATTCCGTGCGGAGTAAAGGGAAAACCGAGCCGACGGATGCGTACATTGCCTATAGCGTGGTCGATCTGTTCAGCCTAGGTTGAGCTGTCATCTGAGGGATCCACTGGGGCTTGAAGATGCACCAGACCAAAATAATAGAAATTAATAGTAACAATTTCTTTTCGTTTCATGTTTGTTATTTTTTTCTCAGCACGGAATACTAAGTGAATATGTAAAAAAGAAAGTCTAAAGAAATACCTTGACACGCGTTCTAGCCTGGAGGCCAGGGCTTTTTAAATTTTCCAGGTGGGGTTGCGAGGTATGTGATTATCTGGACTGGTCATTTCTGAGATTTGGAGGTACAAGAGCTAAGGTATTCCAAATGTCATAGGCGATAATATCAATAGGTTCAATGTCTATATACTATGTACAATGGTACGGAGTACGGAGTACTCCGGATAGATACATACACAGTACTAGTATAAAGAAAAAAACCGACCAATTTTAAAAAACAAAAAAAAAAAAACAGCTGATCCATGGATGATGACATTGCCTCTCCGAACCTTGGAACCATGGGAAGCCATAACGTTGCTCTGGTCCAGGCCTTAAATATTCAAACCCTTTCCGTCTGACCCGGATTGGAAATCTTTTTCTATTTCTTCCTTTTACTTTCTTCTATAAGCATAATCTCTTATACTTTCTTTCGTGTAAAGTTTCCAACATTCCTCCCCGCATTCTTGGGTTACGCAGATCTTACCAAATCCCTCGATACATTCCCGATTTAAGTATCTGTCGGGATTCTGCTGTTCGCGGCGCAAGTCGTGTTTCAGTGGTGTATAGATTCCGCCTTGATCTGCCTTTCGCGGCGCAAAGCGCCTCCAAATTCTTGATACTTCTTCAACGACCTTATAATAACTTATAAATTCTCTCCTGTCTGGCAGCCACCATGCCTCCAAATCGGTGGGAGAAGACCAAAAGCATCTCTAAAAAGGGCTTCGACAAAGCATGGGACACCGTCGACAAGCTCGGCGGCCCCGTTAATCGCCTATCGCACAAGCTGGGCGCCGAAGCCTTCTGGCCCATGACACTCGACAAGGAAGCCGACAAAGCTGCGCGCATCCTACGCAGCTTCTGCAAAGACGGCTTCTATGCCCCCGATTCAACAACCGGCGTCGATGAGAATGGCAAGATCAATCGCCCCAAGGGCAAGCAGCGCGTTATCCAGAAGATCCCAACACAAGTACTCAGAAACGCCAAGGGAGTCGCCATCTTCACGACCATGCGCACGGGTCTGTGGATGAGTGGCTCTGGCGGTAGTGGTGTGCTGATCGGTCGCCTCCCCGAGACCGGCGCATGGAGCCCGCCATCTGGTATCATGCTACACACAGCCGGAATAGGTTTTCTCGCTGGAGTTGACATTTATGACTGCGTGGTAATCATCAACACCCACGAGGCGCTGGAAGCATTCAAGAAATTCCGTTGCACTCTCGGCGGCGAGGTCAGCGCAGCCGCGGGACCCGTAGGTATGGGTGGGGTCCTCGAATCCGAAGTGCACAAACGCCAGGCACCAATTTGGACATATATGAAAAGCAAAGGCCTATACGCGGGTGTTGCCGTCGATGGCACAATCATTATTGAGCGAACTGACGAGAATGAGCGCTTCTACGGCGAGCGGATATCCGTCGACGAGATTCTATCCGGCAAAGTCCGGCATCCGCCCCACGAACTCCAAACCCTCATGCAGACCTTGAAGGCCGCACAGGGCGACTCTGACGTTGACGAAAGTCTTGTCCCGCCACCGGGCGAAACACCTGGCGATATAGAGTTGTCGGAAGACGGACAATCTGCTTTCGGTGTGCCGGCTGTGGACGATCCCGATCCATATGGAGTGAAGGCGCTGGAGGCGGAGGGGCTCTTCATCCGCGAGGCCGGCACAAAGGTGAGACCAAACCATGAGACATTTGAATTCCGGCCGAACCCGGACAGCCCTATTTATAGCACTTTCTTTCGGCGCAGCATGGATAGCTCGCCGCGCAATAGTTGGCGCGCGAGTGTGCAGAGCTCCAAGAGCTATGCTAGTGTCGACCGTGGCACGCAGACCGATGACGCCCCGCTAACCGAGCCCACATCAGTGAGCCGTGCATCTTCTCGCAGCGCGAAGGGATCGTCTATTGGCCGTCCACCGATGAATACCTGGATCGAAAATGACGGCTCTCACTGGGATACGATTGCTATCCACGGCAATGAAGAGCATGTGAAGGTCCGCCAATTAGAGGGCGAGGAGGCGGAGGATAGGAGAGCGAAAGCGAATGCCTGCGAAGATGCACACGACGACCCCGAGTTCGAGGATGACGACGAGCACTATGAGGTTCACGAGGTTGGCAATGCCACTGTCACACCAAGGGATAGTATCCCGCCCTCACCCACAACGGCGGAGGGCCAGACGACAGACCCTGACACCAAGCCTACGTCGCCGAGCTTCACCCGGGCTCGCCTAGTTACAATCCCCGCGCGCACCCCACCTGCCTTACCTCCGCGACACCCACGTCACATCCCAGGCTCTGGATCAAGCCGTGCCTCAACATCTCCTACGGCGCTCTCGTATTCAAGCAATAACACCTCACCCACAGATGTCACTGAGGCGGCGGAGAATCTCGAGCAGTTGGATGAATCTCCACACGCGCTTCCATCCCCGGAGAAGGCCAAGTCCTCTCCTGGTATTCCTGCCACGAGCGACGATGAAGAGTTTGTTGACACGAAGTCGGAGATTGAGGATAACGTCATTACCCTCGAAGATCACACTGCCACCGAGACCGCCGATGCCGCCGAGCAGGAGATCAAGGCGGACCAAGAAGACGGGAAGGACCTTAAACCCGAGCAATCTCCTCGACTCGAAAAGTCTCCCGATGTCCCCAAGCTTGCACCTAATATCGAAAATACCCCGGAGGTCGAAGAGACCCTCGACAAGATCGAAGCCAAGCTTGAAACTGAGATCGAGCAACCCGAAGGGCAGAAGTCTGGAATGTCATATTCACACGTCCTTGCTGATCGCGAAGAACACACAGAGTCCCCTGGTGGGACTAAAATCGATACCACCGATACCACCTTGCCCCATGCCAGGGCTGAGTGATCTATTTTTGATTAACAAATGTTTTTCTAATTCCTCTTTGCGCTTGCGTCGACTTTTTTGTTTTTATATTTTTCTCGACACACATCTTGTCACGATACCTCATACGCATTTTTATACACGTCTTGACTCATTTGGGAGTTCTTGGGCCATCCAGGCTCCGCCTTCTTTTTATGTGTCTTCTACCCCCCTCTCTCCCCTCCAGAAAAAGGGTTTCATGTTGTTCTTTTCCTGCCATTGATTTTAGCGTGTTTGCATCTTAGCGAGTTGGGGATATTTGTTTTTGTTCCTGGGTCAGGTCGATGGGAAAGGGATCTTTGGGTTCTTCGCTCTTTATTTGGAGAGCTTTCGCTCGAGTTGCATTATATCCTGTTTCCCGGACTTGGAACACACTCTTTTATATATTGTTCTTTGACCTTTATCTTCAGCTTTAGTCAATTAACCTCTTTCACACCAATAATACTTGGCGCAAGTCTATACGATGGTTATGGGATCATGTCCTCATCTGAACGTTAGTGTCGAATACCAAGTCCGAATACATGGTACAAACCAGGTATTATACCGGAAGCATTATGTGACATTGGGTACCAGGCATACCATACAAAAGTGTATATTACAGTTGGTCATCGATGCCCGCACAGATTGTTGAAGTAGCGGGCTCTGTCATTTTAGTTAGAGTTGTCAACATTGGTCATCTATACCATACATTGTTCGTACACCAGCTTTCTGTCAAAATACGTTAACTTGCCTGGGGGTTTATGACTGCGCAAAACAGGAGCTCACAATAGGGCGCTGCTCGCATCCACTTTAACCCCGCAAGCAATTTCAGAATCCCTCACCTATCACCACCCGTCTTCCTCAGTTTCGAAGGAAGGAGAAGAACACGGGCAAACCATAATTAGTGAAAACGCAACAGGAGAGGTCACCGAAAATGAGAGGAACAAGAAGTGGGAGATGGCGTTCACGGCCCGGATGAGGCAGATTGTCCCTAGTCTCTTTCTTGGGAATGTTGAGGCATCATACAAACGGGACCTGCTTCAAAAGAATCGTATCAACGCAATTGTCTCTTTTACTGATGCCCGGTGGGTATGGTGGAACACTACTACAAGAGAGGCAGGCATTCCAGAGCATCGTCACAGATGGGTTCAGTGTGCAGATTCGTCAACGCAAGACCTCCTTACTCATATGAGCGATATTTGCAATTTTATCGACCAAATGGCATCCCCTGCTCTTTCCTTATTGTCCTCTTTGCCTGTCGACCACAAAAATGCTACGAATGATGAGCCATGCGGTGCACCATCCGAGGCGATATTAGTCCACTGTGATCTTGGCATATCACGCTCGCCAACGATCGTTGTCGCCTATCTCATGCGCAAACTCCGCATGCAGAAAGTGGACGTATTGAATTTTGTCCAATCCAAACAAATAGTCAAACCGAGCCCGAATCTTACTCGTCAACTTCAAGTTTGGAAGGAGGTTGGATATCAAGTATGGGAGAATGAAGATAGGACTGTCCCGAAAGCGCCATACAAAGCGTTTCTGGAAGATCGAGCTGCCGTTTTGGAAAAAAGGGGGCTGACCGGGAATGAGCCGCTCGCACCCTAGAGCCTTTAACATCTGCATGGAGGAAAGGGTTATCCAGCATCATTTACCAAAAAATTGCATCCCAAGCACAATCAGAAGCAACTATCTTCGCATACTTATTCTCAGCCCCTACCTCAGAAATTATCACAGAGTGCGGCCTGACCCATATGTGGATGTCGAGGTCACATATGTTCTGGTCGTTAATTGAAAGCTCAGGCCAGCTGACGAAGTGCTCGATGTGATATGTCGTCAGGGTGCTAGGGCCCTGCCAAGCGTTCTTGATAGAGTTTGCACCTTGAGCCAATGCGGCACCCCCTCGGCTATACACTGACGGCTTTGATTTTGTGTTGTCTGTCCGACCATTGAACCCCTTCTGGCCCTTGCGATTCAACAGTATTCAGTGCATTGTGTCGCAAGACTCGGGATCACCCTGCTTTGTTCACTTCATGCCAAGGGTCACTATCATTTCAAGAGATTCGAAAAGAGAGACAGAAACATTCCTAGAAGGGTATTTAGTATCTAGCAATTGCTAGCACTCTATTCTAGTTCTCGAGGATTGTGTCAAATGGACATGTGCTTAACGCTAAAAGGATACCAAAGAAAAAGAGATTCGCCAGATTTCTGGACTTGCAGCAGGGGCCAATCCCAAAGTTCATCATTGCAACGAAAGGCCTCCCGAGCCAGTCCAAGGTTATAGGCACTTTGCGACGTGTGAAGGGACAGCCAGATCTTACAAAGCCTCGGCAGTCGAGGTCCCCATGCGTCCCTCCTCAGCAATTTTCTCCTTGTTCATGGTGTCAACAGTGTCAGAGCGGGCATCGCTGGGGGGAGAGGAGCGTTTCTCCACAATGTTGGTCTCGTCCGAATTCGTCGTGTCGGCAGCATCTAAGAATTGTCAGCGTGTATTCGTCATGAAAACAATCAATCACGTTAAAATGACGACAAGACTTACCAGGTTGAGGCTCCTTGGGCGGGGGGCAGTAAAAGCCAACAGCGAGGCAGATAATCATAAGAATAATCTCCTCGAGGACGCCCATGCAGAGATTGACGGTGGGGTTGGGCTCAAACAGGTTGAACCGCGCGATGGTCGTGTAGTCACCCAAGCAGCCGTAGACGGTGCGCACGATGAGCAGTGGGGCACAGGCGTAGACTGAGTACAGGATGATCTTCTCGTTGCGAGGCATCTCGTTGCGGTAGATGGTCAGGTACCCCAGAATGGCCAGCAGGAGACCCAAGCAGCCGACGAACATGCCCAATGCGGCTTGGAGCATGCGGGGGATGGTGTAGCTGTCGAGGGCCTTGATAGCGCCGGCGATACCAAGGGCCAGCCCGACCAAGCTGACGATGCTGACAAAGATGAAGATCCATTTGGAGAGCTTGTTGATCGAGGCGTTTCTGAACAAGACATGTCTACGTCAGTCTCGAGTCACGCGTAGGTGGATATCAGGTTGCGATTTACACTCTTTGCAGCAAACCCACGGCAGCCAGTGTTAGGGGAGCGATGCCCAACAAGTCGCATGTAATTTTTGTGGTGACAACATCGATTGAGTCGTCAGTGATGGTGATGAGCTGGCATATAGCGCCGGCGATTCGGAGACAGGCGAGGATAATGAGGAATCTCCAACATGATGCCACGGCCTTCATTCCTTGCTGGTAACACAAAAGAATGGCGAGGAAGAGACAGGGCACGAAGGCGATGAGCTGCAATAACGCGATACCATCTTGATAGCTAAATGTCATCTTGGATCGAGAGGGGCCGGAGCGGCGAATATAGCGGACAGGTGTCTTGCTGATGGCTGATTGATGGGCAATCTAGATTACAAGGTCAGGGCAGGGATTTGAAGGCCCTGGAAAACCGGTATGATCTGATGAAACAAGTATGAAGGATAGGGCAAGAGTTGGGAGTCATTCGAACACCAGCTCTTGCCTTGGAGAAAACGATACGAGGGTAATAAATGAAACGTCCAGGAGTAAAATAAGAGAGCGGCCTCCCCTGGTGGAGCAGGTGTACGATGAAAAGATTGCAATGCGTTCGGGCGGTGCACTTGAACACAAAGACGAACGAGGCATTCAATGACAACTTGGTTTCGGATATCTCCATGTGGAACAAGTATAACATCGAGCATACCTCATTAGGAATAGATCCATGGGTGATGTGGATACTACCCGGTCCTCGCCCCAGAGATCTCCTTGGCGGTAAGGGTCCCCTATCATCTTTTGGGCTCTGCGTGGCAGCCTCTCTTGCGCTATTCCGTTTCCGTCACCGTTTTGCTCCTTTTGCCGGACTCCGAGCTGTCCATTTTGGGTAACATTTCCCATCCTCATAACTCTCGTCCGTATTCTCCCTTTGCATACGTCCAAGGACTCTCTTACCTCGCACTCGGTTCTAAAACACGTGTACGGACTACGTACTTTGCAAGCCACACCATATCCGTAGCGATCCCTCCCTTAAGGCTTGACGGCTGAAGCATTGCCACTAAGAGTTGCCGTCGCCTAACCTCCACCAGCTAGTTACGGACTAGCCCCATTAGTGAGATTGATCGACGCAACCACCATCCTACTAGAAACACGTGCAATTTCCGTCTCCTTCCTTTGAACAGCCTACTTTACGCGTTGTTTCTGTAACAAGCCTATTATCTTACTAGTGTCGACTACCAGGGACCCCCGCTATCCACCCTACTTTATCGTTTCCCAGCGGGACTAGCACTCTTCAAGATCGTTACTACATGCAGACAATGTCTGTCCGGAGGATCATGAGTTACGGTTTTGTTTCTACCTGTAGCAATCCCCCAGCGGAGATCCGGGCGACATCTAGCTAGGAACACAGCTGACAACGTGATGGCATTCCGTCTATATAAAAGACAACAAGACGGGATGTCTGCTTTGTGGGGATGAACATGTTTTAAATATTCATCATCTCGGCCTTCCATCGCCCTGGCCTTCTCATTCTTTACACATTTAGTCGGCTTTTGTTTTCCTTTCACCACCAAACAGCAAAAGACCAATCTATCACAATGGCCGAGACCGAGCAGCGTCGGCTCGCGTATTGGCTGGAGCAGCTCGAGGGAAGCCAGCCCGCCGAGCTGCTCTGCTACAAGCCCGGTCGGCCATCCCCTCTGGCAAGGCGCAGGTCCACCACTTCGCCCTCGATGACCAGCTTTACAAGGAGCCCCAGGCCTTCTGCCAGACACACCAGGCCACTCCCTTTGTGGTGCTCCTTGCCGCTTTCAGGGCGACGCACTACCGCCTCACCGGTGTCGACGATGCCACCATTGCTACACCCATCCACAGCAACACCAACCTCCTATGCGTTCGCACCACCGTCGAGTTAGAGGACTCGTTCCATGCTCTTGTCCAGCGTGTCCAGCAAACCAACAGCGCGGCCTCTAGCAACCAGGATGTCGCCTTCCAGAAGATCGTGTCGGAGCTGCGTCCTGGGGCCGCCGACCGGTCCCGTAAACCCTCGTTCAGACGATATTTGCAGTTCACTCGTCAGAAGATGTCAACAGCTCCCGGCTCGATGGTGCGGCTACCGAAATCTTCGGCCGTGGCCTCAAGACACCCGAGGCCCTCGTCTCAACACTGCCTCTTACCCAAGGTCTCTCAGCACTGGCCGATATGGGCCTCACAGATGTTGCGGGCACGGATTACCTACGCGACTCCAGCGTCGTCGAGCTCTTCCGGAGAGAGGTCTCTCTCAGCCCCAGCGCCGTTACCGTCAAGAACGCATACTCGTCTTCTCAGCTCACGTACGCGGAGCTGGAACGGCAATCGGACCAGCTCGCCCCAGAGACCATGGTCGCGGTGCTGGCGCCACGGTCGTGCGAGACGATTGTGGCCCTGTTGGCCATTCTCAAGGCCAATCTGGCCTATTTGCCTCTCGACGTCAACGTTCCCGTTGGCCCCCTCGAGAGCATCCTCTCCGCGGTCCAGGGAGACAAGCTCATCCTTCTCGGCGCCGGCCTCAGGCCATCCTCTGCAGCTCAAGGACCTGAGCTTCCGCCACATTGCCCAGGTCCTGGACGGGCAGGGCCAGCACTTCGCTGGCGCTCTGCCGACGCCAACGGCTTCTAGCCTCGTATACGTTATGTTCACGTCCGGGTCAACGGGCAAGCCCAAAGGTGTCCAAGTGGAGCACCGCGGCATCGTGCGCCTGGTGCGCGAGACCAACGTGGCCTCCAAGACGCAGTCAAGTGGCAACATTGCGCACGTTGCCAACCTGGCCTTTGACGCCGTGACGTGGGAAATCTACGCCGCGATGCTAAACGGCGGCACTCTCGTCTGCATCCGACTACATGACGGTCGTCGACCCGGTCACTTCTGAGACGGGTGTTGCAGCGCGAGGCCGTGCGGTCCTGCATGCTCACGCCTGCTCTCCTCAAGCAGTGCCTTGCCAGCGCGCCATCTGCTCTCTCCAGCCTGGAACTACTCTTCGCTGCCGGAGACCGCCTCGACCCACGCGATGCTGCCCAGGCCAAGGGAATCATCGAGGGTGACCTCGTCAACGGCTACGGTCCCACCGAAAATACCACCTTCAGCGCCATCTACAAGGTCCCGGCCAACCAGAAGTGTGTCAACGGCATGCCCATCGCCGTGGCCATCAGCAACTCGGGTGCCTTCATCATGGACCCGCAGCAGCGCCTCGTGCCTCCTGGCGTCATGGGTGAGCTCATCGTCACTGGCGACGGTCTCGCCCGTGGATACACCAACGCGGGGCTCAACAAGAACCGCTTCGTGCATGTGGCCATCAACGGCGAGTCTGTCCGCGCCTACCGCACCGGTGACCAAGTGCACCACCGCCCTTCGGACGGCATGATCGAGTTCTTTGGCCGTATGGACTTCCAGGTCAAGATCCGTGGTCACCGCATTGAGCTGCCCGAGATCGAGCATGCTCTTCTGCGCAGCGAGTCTATCAGCGATGCCGTGACTCGGGTGCACCAACCTTAGGGCGAGCTGGCGGAGCTTGTTAGCTTTGTCACTATTCATGTAACGTTCAGTTGATTGCCCCTGGATGATTCAACACACATAGGGACATCAAGAGGTAGTATCAATCCATTTGGTGCATCAATTGGCCTTCCCTCGATACTAGATGAAACACGTATCCCCAGATATGTCATAATACTTTGCCTCTTTTGTCAACCGTAAATTACGGCGCAGTCTACAGATGCCAATACGTAGTACGTACTCAGTATCCGTATACCCATATTTTTGAGTGATATGTCTTTTCCTTTTTGTACTTGTGCGGGGATGCTATCTAACTAAAAGTTCCCCCTAATAAGCGAGACTACGATTTGCGAGACTTGGATATTTGCACAAACACTTGAAAAACTCTCCCAGATGAAGCGTTTTGGTTTAATTTTTGATTTGTGAAAGGATATATACTGGTGTAACCCTATATGTACGGTCTATGCTCTATATGCAGTTTATCGCTGTATGAAATATCTTTTGAATGATGCTTCCATACTATCCACTCAATGGTGGACGGAGGTTGCTTGATTCAATAAAGTTGGCGAAATCATCTGCCTGCGCAAGACCTTCTTGGCGGCTGATTCTGCGCAGCTGGGCGGTAGTCCATGCACGGGTCTCGTGGCTGAGGTTGTGCATGCAGCCCACAGTGAGGAGAACCCAGCAGGCAAAGTAGCCGCCGACGGCCGAGCCGGCGTTGTTCTTGGAGTGCTCCTGCTGCTCCTGCTGCTGCAGCTGTAGCTCTTGCGCCGGGGAAGTGGCGTAGCCCATGAGCTGGGGCACGGAGGCGAGCATCTCGTCGCGCTGGCGGACGATGGTCTGGGTGGCCTGGTGCAGGCGGTCGGCGTAGTTGTTGGCGAAGAACCAGTTGCTGTCGGTGTTAGCGCCGCGGAGGAGGAGGTGGCTGATGGCGTGGTTAGCGAGGATGCGGCAGACGCGCATGCTGTTCCAGATGGAGGAGATCCAGACATCGTGGTAGATATGGTTGACGTCGCGCAGGATGCGAGTCGGATCGTAGCTGTTGCTGGACGAGTTGGATTTGGCGGTAAATTGCCACTCGGAAGGGCACTTGGAGAAGGTGCTCTCGAGGCGGTAGTCAATCTCGAACGCCTGTGAGAGGTAGCGCTCGAGGTACTCAATGGAGATGTTGGCACCCTTGAGAGGACTGGGGAGCGTGGAGGTAGAGGCGGGGGAAGAACCGGATGCAGTAGAGGGGGAGTTGGAGGAATCGGAACGGGCGGCGAGAGCGGAGGAGGCGCCGGAAGAGTTGGGAAAGAACGAGTAGCCGCCAGGGGAAATGTGCTGGTAGAGATCCAGAAGCTCGACCATGCCGCTGCAGGCGACCCAGTAGGGATCCGAGACGCCGATGGCGTTGGCGGCCTCAATGCGCAGCATGCGTAGGCTCGAGGGCATGGGGGAGCCGGAGCGCAGGCAGTTGGTGAGGAGCTCGGAGAAGAGATCCTTGAAGATCTGCAGGCCGGTCGAGGTGGAGAACTGGGAGCGGCCGCGCAGGTTGAGGAGCGAAGTGGCACCCTCAATGTGGTGCTTCCATCCGTCGATAGAGGCCTTGCTGAACTCGTAGAGGGCGAGGACGAGGACAGAGACTATGGTGCTGTCGCGACGGGCGGCCTGGGGGTCGGCGAGGGCGAGATTGACACGCTCCATGGTGCGGGTGTACAGCATCATGGACCGGGTCAACAGGTCGGGATGGCTAGTGGTGCGAGCGAGCCCACTGAAGCCGACAGCCAGAATGGCACCCTCGAGCATGTCATTGCCGCCGTCGTCTTGCGCCAGCATGGCCGGAACATAGTCGAAGAAGCCGGAGGAGGGACCAGACTGCCGAACGACGTAGTGAGAGAGGAAGAAATCGATACCGATGATGACGAGAGGCAAGGAGAAGGGACGCGCTATGACCTCGGGCTGACTGCGGGTGAAGTTGTTGTGTCCTAGCCGTTGGCGGTCGCCGTGGTTGCTGCCGTCATCAGGGAACTGATCGAGAGCCACATCCTCGCCGCCTACGCTAGAAGCGCCGACACGGGAACGACGCCCAGACACGGAGGCAGGAACAGAAGCAGCGGATCCAGGACCGTCGCCCGATACCGGCATGGCGCTGGCCGAGGCATCCTGGTGGAGGGAGAAGAGCCCAGTCTCGTCCGGGTTGAAAGGGTCGTGGAAGCTCATCAACTCGGGCATGAAGCTGCCACCGGCGAACATCCCGGCTCCGACATCGACGTCGCTCATGTCCAGCATGGTCTCGTCGACGACATCGGAGGGGCGGCTGGCGTGATAGTCCGGTGCGGAGGTCTTTAGTTGTTGGTTCTGTGCCTGTGGTGGGGCTGTGCGCTCCACCGAGAGGCGGTTGGTTGGGGTGGCCGTCGAAGTCCTCTTGGAGACTTTTGAGCGGGCGCGGTTGATGACCTGGGTGCTCTCATCGCGAAAGATGAGGCTTGAGGGATCTCTGTACCCGGGGCATTTCTGACCCGTGCGACAACATTGGCCGCATTCTGGGACTGCTTTGTCGCACTTTTTTTTTGAGGTTAAATGTGAGCCAAAATGTCTTTTTTACTTCTTTTTTTAACTGATGATTTTCTATCTTTTGTAAAGGGGCGCAAACAGTAATGACTTACTCTTGTCTTCTTGGCGCGACAATTGTTGCAACTTGTTGAAGGACGACCGCAGTAGACCATCATGGCGATTCTACCAAGTGGTGATGATTGTGGATGGATAGGCGGGGAAATGTGTCAGGCATCAAACCCAACGCATGTCTAAGTATGTACGTGAATAAGAGAGCGCCCTGGAGTGGGGGCCGTCCCGTTCCGCGTGGAGACACAAGGTAAGGCTGGATGAGGTGAATGCCAAGTTCGAACAACGATATGGTAAAAAAGGACTGGAAAGAGAAAGCAAGAGGACAAGACGATTTGAAGTGGGCGAAAAACGTTGTGCCTAAATACACACATACACACACACACACACACACACACACACAATTTATTAGCGCCCAAGGGCTTAGCCGGAAGGGCAGCTATCGATCCATTGTTATCTGTTGTCGAATACTAAGTCCGAATACATGGTAGAAACCAGGTATTATACCGGAAACATCATGTGACATTGAGTACTAGACATACCATATAAAAGTGCATATTATAGATCGGTATCAATGCCCGTATAGATTGTTGAAATAGCGGGTGTTGTCATTTTGGTTAATTAGAGATCACGTATGTATGTACGTGTATGCTCATCATCGCTAGGGATGCTAGTATCCTTGCGGCGTTTCTTTCGGCACTTGGCCCAGTGCCGAGCATCTGCCAGCCCGGCAACTCCCTGCGCTTCTTGGCAGAGGCACGGTTCGGATCTACCCACGATGCTTAATCGTACATACAGACAGCCGGAGTGTCTCGCCAAGGCTGATCTATGTAGGTCGCCTCTGCCGAGCAGGGGTAAGCCCCACAGATGCCGGTAACACACAAGCCTATTCGCTCGCCTTTGCCCATGTCCTATCCGACCCGACTCTCGTCGGTCCCACGAGGTAAATGTCCAACAGGCTGGCCATTGCCACCATCTCTGTCCAATCCCAGGTCGATGATGCCGAGATCTCTACCGAGGTCACCAACACTGAGAAGGCCATCTGGGAGCTGTGGTAGGAGACCCTTTCCTAGTCCGTTATGGATGGTGTGGTCGTCAACTTGAACCTTCTTCCAGCTCGGAGGTAACTCCTTGCATACTGTCCGCCTCCAGTCTCGCATCCGCGAGGCTTTTGCCATCGTCGTTCCTCTCCTTAAGGTCATCGAGTCCAGCAAGCTCTCTGCTTTGGGTGCCCTCCTCGATAACCTCTTGGCCAACTCTGGAATCAACTGGGACCTCGAGACTGCCCTCACCGATGACATGCTCCAGATCTCTCCCGCTGACGCCTCCTCCACTACCAGCAAGAACGCCCAGTCCCTGACTGTCACCCTCACCGGCGCCTCTGGTTTCAATGGTCGTCACATCTTGGAGCGCCTCATCCAGGACCCCAAGATCGGCCGCGTCCACTGCATTGCCCACCGTCCCCTGTCTGACGAGCTTCCCCACCCCTAGAAGTTCAACGCCGTCGTCGCGTCCTCTTCCAAGCTCTCCGTATACGAGGGTGATCTAAACGATCCTCGCCTCGGTCTGTCCGAGACCGAGTTCGCCGCTCTCGCCCAGCAGGCTGGCATGATCATCCACAGCGGTGCCAACCGGTCCTTCTTCAGCACCTACGACCAAGTCCAGGCCATCAACGTCCAGTCCACCAAGGAGCCCGCTCTCATTTCTGCCGCTTCCCTGCGTGGCCATCGCCGCGTCGTGCCCTTCCACTTCCTCTCTGGCACTGAGGCCGCCACCATCAAGCCTGCTTCGGACGACTCCCAGGGCTACGTCGCCTCCAAGTGGGACAGCGAGCGCTTCCTCGAGAAGTCGATCGATCAGCTGCGCCTCCCCGTCCACGTCCACCGCCAACTGCCCGTTCCCGATGGTCGTGAGGCCCAGGGCGAGGAGCTCGACCAGGTCCTCCAGGAGTTCGTCGACGTCGCCGCCAAGATGACCGAGCTACCCAACTCGACCACCTGGGACGGTCACTACGACCTGATCCCCGCCGACCGTCTGTCTCGCGACATTGCCAAGGTTGTCGAGAGGCTGGGCTCGCTGCCCGAGTATGCCCAGAGCGGCCAGCCCAAGATCCTGGCCCACGTCTGGGTCGGCAAGGCCAAGACTGCCGGATTCCGCTACCAGTTCAGCACCATGAACATGGTCCTGCAGGATGCCGAGGGCAAGGGCCTCGCTACGGTGTCGCGGTAGAGTGTTGACCATTCTTTTTGGCGTGTTTGTTCTTGTATGTAGCTTCACTCATCACTCTCCCTGTTTTTTCCTATGCCTAACATCCTCATGTTTACGTTAGCTTTTGCTTTAGCGTTATAAAAGACTTGGTACAAAACTTTTCCTCTCTTCTACAGTGATGCCTTAAAATGTAATATCTTGTAAGTTCCTTTGCTTCCAAGTTCTACTTTGCTTTCAAGCACAATGGGTTTAATATTATCTGAAAATCTGATGTCGAATCATATAATCCATGGTTTTCACCTTTGTCCAATCCTTTGGCTGCGTGACGGCAAAGACTGAGAACATCTATTCCAATAAATCGTCCCCTAGTTTCACTACAACAACGTCTTGGCCACAGTGAGCATCGTTCATCATCTCAATTCTGCCTCTTTCGGAAGAAATGAAAGCTGCTCTTAGGTAAGAGTGGGTGTAAATCTATCTCGTCTTTTTCTGGCAAAGTCAAGCCACTATGAATTGGCTACTACAGTTCGCGATGTTTGCATTGCACAGGATCCGTTTGACGTTTCCAGTGGTCGGAAATGTTTCACCTTAGGCCACGATTCATTTATGTAGCAGGACATGTACAAACGCTTTACTGGTGTCATATGTTCTGAGCTGGCCCTTGTCTAGCAACTTGTGATCACTGAAACATACGCGCTAGTTTTGACAGACAGAAAACGCGCAGAGACATATATTCCAAAGTATTCCAAAGTGATTTGGCAAGGGAATCATGTAGGCAAAAATTGTTCGTAAATTTATGTGACAACGGTATCGTCAGCATAAATGAAAAGATCTATGTACATCGCCTCAAGGCTGGTTTACTGTGCCCTTTGATGTAGCCACCCAGTCGCACAATCGCCAATACGTATACACCGGGTTTCTATATCTAACACTGGTAGTCGTAGACGAGCTTGGCCTCAAGCCTCTCGCCGTCGTCCTTGGTGACCAGGACCCGCCTGGCGTGGTAGCGAGTGCCGTCGAGGACAATGAAGCCGGCGACCTGCTGGGTGACGACGCCCTTGGAGTCGAGGTGCTCGGTCTTGAAGTGCATGACCTCCTCGGTGCCGTCCTCCCAACCCTGGCGGAGGCAGTCGTCATCGAGGTCGGCGAGCTTGCAGATACGGGAGCGACCGCGGATATTGCCCAAGAGGCCGTGGTTGAGCTCGACGGGCTTCCAGTTGAGGACACGCTTCTCCTGGGTGGTGGGGAGGCTGCCGCTGGGCTTGTTCTCAATGTCGAGTAGGATGTTGCTGTTCTCGTCCTTGCGCTGGTTGATGATGACAGTGACGTTGGCCATGGCAATGACCTTGCGGGTCAGCCAGTTGATGCCCTGGACCTTGAGGATCTCGGCAGAGGACTCGGACAGGTTGTCGTTCTGTAGGTATAGTTAGCATACAGGACTTGTGTGACACAGACATGAGGGAATTCGGTGTCTCTTACAACAGCCCAAGAGCCGTTAAGGTCCTGGACGGTCTTGGAAGCGGGAGCAGCCATTGTGTCGACGTGTGAGTAGTCTTGCGGTATATGGTTAGGCAAGAGTGGTGAAGATAGAATCGAGGTTTGATGGTTTGACGAGGGTGAGTTGATTGATTGAATGTCTTGTCTTCTCTCTGAGTTTCTGAAGCTTCAAACACGTTGCTCATATACATTTCATTGTTCATAGATGACACGCCTTGTTCTGTCGGCCCTTGGTACGACACATCCCACTTAGAGTATTCAGTTGCAGATGGAGTAGCATGCCGCTCGCTAGTGGGCATCAGTCAGCCAATGCCAAACACCACTGGCGTAATGAATCCCCTTTGCCGCATCGGGAATAGAAAGCTGGCCCTTTGGGGGCCCCATGTCGTTGGGGGTCGACAGGGACCAAGAGAATCCGCCAAAAAGGTATACAGGTAGGACGGCATGGCTGCAAGTCTGCGGTAATGGTGGATGCATGTGTTTGTGTCAAGTCAAAGCCGCAGTGCCAAGAGTTGCCTCAATTAGGAGCAATGCCCGGGGCTGCCACAATGACGCTGGTAAAAGGACAAAGACACAAAAGGGACGTAGGCACAGTTTCAAACGGAGAGCCACTTGCATCCTGCTAACTTAAACAGGACAGAGGGGGCGACCACTCCACGACCATATCCCAAAGGGGTATGCAGGATGTTCGGTTCACGGCACCATCAAATGCACTGCCAGTGGAGGCTCCGGCGTATTGTCCATCTTGGAACCACAATCCGAAGGGATAATTTCTTTTTTCTCTTCGTTCTTAAATCTGATTTTCCCTTTCTTGGCCATCATCAACAACTCTCTTTATCTCTATTTCGTCTTTGCACTCCCGCGGTCCCCTGGTCACAACCCCCGCGGCGAGACTAAACTTATTTCTTCCCCACTTCGCATCGCTAGCAGCAGCTATATCCACTAGGATTGGGGTCCACTGCAAGCCATGCCCAGAGTCCCAGATGTGCTACGGGACGCCTTTACGATCTGACGCCTGGGTCAACCGAGTACTGACTGGTGTGTCGCGATTCTCCAGCAAAGCGGATCAGCTCCAACATCATGTACGCGCAGTCCAAGAAGCCGCCTATGCATGGGCAGGTCCTCATGCACTCACAATCACAATACGACAAACCTAGCTACCCGCCTCAATACGATCAAGCCCAGTACGGCCACCCTCAACCTAGAGGTCCTCAGTACGAGGCCCCTCCAATGGGACAACCTCAGTATGGACAGCCTCAGTATGGACCTCCCCCAACAGGACAACCTCATTACGGACAGCCACAATATGGCCAACCCCAATATGGCCAACCCCAATATGGTCAACCTCAGTATGGCGAGCCTCAAAATGGACAAGCACCTTACGGACAGCTTCAGCCCGGTCCCAATCCCATGTTTAGAGGGCAATCCACCCCAGACCCCAGGTACGACTCACAAGCTGGGATGACCACCATGGGAGGGCCACTGCCTCTGCCCATCGTGATCCCGCAGCAGCGCCCAGGGTCTCAGGAGCGAGGCTTCATGGCCGCCTATGCGCCATCTCTGGAGTCATGCGGCATCGACCAAAGGTCGTTCCTGCGCTTCATCGATGAGACTAACACGGCCTTGGAGGGCAACAAGTACCTCGCCGGCGTTCAAGTCGTCTCTCTTGGCGTGGGCTTCACTCCCGAAATCATCGTCATGGGCGTCGCCGCGGCGGTGCAAGCGGGCGCCTGGGCGGCCAACAAGGGCTACGTCAGAGGAAGGTAAGTGTAACAAGACGACTCTCCTCTCAAGCCACGATGCTGACCCCGGCTTAGGACCAACAACATCATGGACAAGTACAACCGCGAGCTTTTCGCACCTCACGGTCTGTTCTGCATGATTATGAAACATGAACCTGAGCTCAAGGAGCCCAAGAATCCCAACCGTCTCAAACAGCTTGCCTCACTAGCTGTCAACGGCTCGAGCAATGGCGGCGGCAGTGCATGGATGCGTAACCACATTTCCGGCGAGTCGCAGGGACCTGGGGGTCTGCCTACGGCTGTCGCACCGCTTGTCTACATGGACAACCACCGCCAACACAAGAAGTACCTGTCCGATTCTCCGCCTGAGTCACCAGGCTCCAAGAGGGGTGTCGTCCCCGCCGGAGGCAAGACTTCGACCAAGGACAAAGCCAAGAAGGCCTTTGACAACTTCAACGACTACCTCGACCGTCGCGCTCGCGCAAAGTACACCGCCGAGAACGGCAACGACGTGCTAAGTGGGCCGGCTGGTCGTGGCTTCAGCAACCGGTACCTTGACCCCAATCATCCGGCCGTCAACGGAGGTCTCATCGGTGTGCTCTCCGGCGGCGTGTTGAGTCCTACCCCGGAGCAGCGTGCGCAGAAGGTGGCCGGCAGAATTGATGAAGAAGAGAAGAGAGTCCTTGACGAGTACAACGACAGGAGGGAGCGCATCTTGAACGACCGACGCAGTCAATCCGAGACAGATCGGGAGTTGAGGCGGTTGGAGAAGGACTACGAGCCTCGTCTGGAGCAGTTCCGCAAGAAGAGAAGGGCGCTGGAAGGTGGTAAAAGATCCATCAAGAGCGTAAGTCTAACTCATGTTTTATCCTTCCTGCTGACTTGGTGGTGTTGTTTTTTTGATTGACCATGGCCTTTTGCAGAACATTTTGTACCTGATGATTGTCAACCTTCCTTCAGAGGCCATCCTTGCTGCCGCTTCGTCGAATCTGGAGCAGGAATATGGTCACAGTGTCATGACGGAGACGATGTCACCTCCAGCGTACTAAATTTTCATTCATTATACATTTACATGTCTTTCTGGCAGTCTACGTAGAATAGCGGATGTTATGCGGAGGATTTCTTGATTTTTTGCATCAATCAGAATGTTGAGTGATCTTGTGCGATAGACTAAATACCCAAATCAGACAAAAATGGAGCCTCAATGCCACATCAAGGTCATGGTCTCTACTAGTGTAGTCTATCTGCTCTTGATGATGCAAGACAACGCTAATTACCTGTGCTAGACCCGGACACTGAGGTTGGTATCGAGAGGTATGTGTTATCACTCGACGTTTTCATTCGCTCTATATGCGCGGTTTTCAGTATATACAAACAGAGCAACCATAAAATGCATCATTAGCACAGACAACGCTGTTGAGGATGATGATCAAAACGCCCAGATAATCTATCCATTCCAGAGTACCCGCCATGCACTCTGTACTGACCAACTATTACAAATTAGCAGCAGATCCGAAAAGAAAAAAAACTTTAATAGAAAGTATGAGGGGTTTAAAAGCTGAAAAGGAAATATCGTATACTTATCGAAGAAAGAGTCCTGTTCTTTTCTTACCGGCTAGCCTCGAGGAGGCGCACCGTAACCGTGTCACCAGGAGCGCTCACTAAAGCCAAGTCCCACCTAATCCTCTGGTCGGCGTGGACGTCCTCGAGTCCGTCGAAGCGCTGGAGCATACAGACGAGGACGTAACCAGCCTCGGTGAGGGCGAACTGCTGGCCAATGCAGATGCGCGGCCCACCGTTGAAGGGGAGGTACTCCCAGCCGGAGCGGCGGGCCTCCCAGCGCTCGGGCTTGAAATCACCCGAGTCCTTGCCCCAGACGTCCTCGCGGCGGTGCTGCATGTGCACGTTGTACAGGACGGCCCGGCCCTTCTAGATGTAAATTGCCATCTAAGCCATCCGTCTGTTTGGCTTGTTTGCTGGATGAACGTTGCCCCTGGAGACCTTACGAAAACATTGACAACCCATAATACCCCCTCCTATAGCATCCCCTCGTTCAAATACGTGTCGGAAAGTTGATATCATAATGTGATGGTTTACGATATTCACCATGAGCTTTAGTTCTGCCTCACCTTTCAAAGTGGCAAAAAAGCCGTCCTGGTTGTTCAGCCTCGATCCCCCTTCGTAGGGTAATCTGACTTACAAGCATCAATTCGTCCAGCTCAACCGTATTCAACCTGTGTGGTAGATCTTGAGCCTCTGCGCTTCATGCAAAATCCGGATGAAATTTCTCATTCTTTTGCTCTAACCTTTTGACCATCGACAATGCAATCTCAATCCCCAATTCTGCTGCCTACCAGAAAAATATTCATCTCGTTGATTTTAATGGACCCACAACTATACAAATAACCTCAAAAATTGACAATACTGACCCGGGTGGCATTATAATGTACTGCAAAATTCAAAACGTCGTGTCAATCATTGTATCATATTTAGTAACTATTTAACGTGCTAGTCCCGCGAAGTAAGGTCAGCACACACACGACGCAAGTGGGTGCTCACGGTAGAATTACGTTAATATTTGCAATTACATAATTTTCAAACAGCCCTATCAAGCGATTACGGGCGGTACTCGAAATGGACGTGTGTTGAATTTAAAGTTCATCAGCCCGGTGTCGAATACGAGGGATTTCCAGAAGCAGATGGGGCGATTGCAACCTGGCATCATTATCAAACCTCCATGTCATTTGGCCCTTGACAGCTTCGCTCACATCATTAGAAAGATGGATGCATAAATAGCACGTTGGAATCGCCCACATCACGAATAAAGTCTCCCATCTTGATTGATAAAAATATCATGTACACTTCTCAGGTTTCGACTATAGTCATTTACATGGCAGGCATGGCTCTATTCGGGGTTTGCATCCGAGCCTCTCCAACTCTTCTACCCTCTTGGACTGGCTGTCCCGTCAATGGCCCTCTTCTTCCCCGCCCAACAGATCTCGGCAACTCGCAAATCATCCAGAATGCGACGGCGAAGCTAGCCCATGCTCTTGACTTGTCAATTAGAGGCGAGAGAAAAGCAGGTTTCCAAGTCGACAACACGTCCTTTTCACTCGCACTCGTATCACCATACACCCCAGATTCAGACCAAACCGGCGAGGATATTATATGGTCTTACCACCACCTCGGCAAGAATAACGTCCAGGGAACCAATGACTTGGGTGATGATTCCCAATACATGATCGGGTCCATCTCCAAGGTCTTCTCTGACCTCATTCTACTCCAGTCGGACCTCGATCTGAACGATCCTATCACTCAGTACTTACCGGAACTCGAAAGAGAGGGAACACCAATTCAATGGAGCAATATAACTCTTTCGGCTCTTTCAAATCACCTGGCTGGCATCCCATCCAACCTACGTTAGTCCACTCCGCGGCCCAATACAATCAAAATCACAAAACTAAATACTAACGAGACCATTGGAAGCTTCTTCTTTTGAGTGGTATTCATTGCGCTCTTATTTCGAGCAATTTGGGTTCCCTGTGCTCGAAAACGGAAGTTATCCAATCTGTGGTGTTAGTGGGCTAAGTAAAGCTTGTAACGAGCAGCGTAAGTCTCTTTGGCCACCAACTTGGCACCGCTAATCCATTCAGAGATTATTGATATGATGGCTTCTACACTGCCAGTTCAGCAACCATACTCACAGCCTATATACTCCTCACTGGCCTTCAGTCTATTGGGAATGGCTCTCAGCCGAAAGACAAACAAGACATACCAGGTGTTACTTGATATAGCAATTATTCGGCCCATTGGGTTAACAAACACGGGTATCTCCCCTGGAGATACGGAGAAAGCTGTTATACCACCTCTTGACCCAACGAGCCAGGGGTGGGGTGCAGACTATGGATTGAATGCTCCGTAAGTCAAAAAAGTGCAATCCACCCTCCGCCCCCAATTTCTAATAAAGAAGCAGTGGGGGCGGACTATATTCATCTCTTCGAGACCTCTCAACCTTAGCTGCCCGAATTCTGGACTACTCTATATTTCCATCTCCTGGAATGACGCATCAATGGCTCAAGCCACAATCGATGACGGCTTCGACCAATAATCTTGTTGGACGGCCTTGGGAAATCCAACGGACAGAAAACCTAGTTCCAAGAAACCCACATACTGTTGATATCTACAGCAAGAGTGGAGGTGCGCCGGGCTACATTTCTCAGCTGTCTTTGGTGGACCAGTACGGCGTGGGATTTGTCGTTCTAACGGCTGGTCCTCTAGAGGATGCCACAGCATCAATTTTGAACGATGCGCTCATTACCTCTTTGATACCAGCCATTGACCAAGAGGGACACAGACAGGCTCGAAAATACACCGGAAATTTCTCAGTCCCAGTTTCATCAGGTGTCAACAGTACACAGAAAGAGATGCCAGTGGAACTTAATCTCATTATGGATAGCGGGACGGGTCTCAAGATATATTCATTGACTCGAAACGGATCCGACATTTTAGGGGGGATTCAAGAACTTTGGGCTACAATGATACCCGAGACTGGAATCCTCGGCTCTGATTTCCGCATCTACCCTGCCGAAGTTGAAGTCAAGGTCGAAGGGGAAGACGGCGTTTTTCTGGAGGACTGGCGTATCAACTTTGATGTCGTCCCTCATGATAATGCTGCAATCTCTGATCTACCGGGACAGGGGAAATTGTCATCCAAGGTATGCACTTCGTGGCAGGTGGCAGCTTGGCTCTACTACGGAGGGGAAGCTCTGGATCGTGTCGTTTTCAAAGTAAATCGCACCTCTGGAGAAGTTCTCGGGATTGACGTTCCCTTCCTTCGAAGCGGAATTCTGAACAAACCTAGGTTTTAGGACTTACAGCTGTTCTATCACGGTACGCAGTTACAGATGGTTTCTGTATGAAGCAGATGTCAGTTTGGAAATTGCTAGGCCACCAAAAACCTTGCTGAGGATATCGCAAACTTATGTAATATCGTATATTAAGTGTCGGAAATTGGTAATTACAGTACGGACTACTATGAGCATAGTCAATTGAGTGCTTGAAGGTGTGCGTTTGAAACCAGGAATATGGGTTGCTGAATATTCCTTGGCCACATAAGTAAGATCGCGATCCTCTCTTGTCGACAGGTGTTCAAATGCCTACTTGACAAAGTGCAGCCGAGATAGCTTTGTGATGGTGAAGGTGACGGCCGTCTCTTTTGTGATACAGGGCTGGTGCAGATTAGAAACCAGCCGCATTATGGGAAATTTTCCCTTCACGCTATATACGAAGAGCCGATTTAGTTGGAAATCAACTTGGACCTTACAGCTCATGTACTCCCCGGAAGTAACAGAATATTTAATCATTCCTCTAAAATACAGCACTCTCTCTATCCTTAGGTGCATGCCAGCCTCCTCAAAGATCTGGTTGTTTTGCTCTAGCTTCTCGCCAACAATGTGCTTGGGCATGCATGTCTCCCATAGCCATCGATAGAGTCCAACAAGTTGAGCCTCTGGAAAGACGAACTTTAAATCGTCGCATTCGATGTCAACAAGCACTTTAGATGAGGATTAAAAGGGCTCCGTCGCCAACTTATGACCCGTTTCTGCTTCCTGTTGTGAAGTGGAGAGCTGCGATATTCAGCAGGCAATTGGAGCCAAGTCCTTTCACTTACTAGTTAATGGAGGGGTATTATCTAATTTTCTTTATCACTAAGGGTTGGCAATTCACTAGGCTGTTGATCTTCATGTTCCTCGCCCGGCAAGTGTTTCGGGCTTCCATTTTGTTCGTAGGAGAGGTCAAGGGTCCGGCCAATACTATTCCTTCAATCCTTGGTCACTTTCATAGACTATGCAGACGCAGGTGGCTAAGTAGTGACTTGTATGATCACCACAGTGGCTAATCAACGTAGTTAAGGTTTGACTAGAGATTGGTTACTTTTTCGGGCTCTTGACAGTCAATCTGATCACAGGTTAGTGATCAACGAGTCGGTCCGGGAAATTTGATCAGGCCTCACGATGTTGAGGGTCAGATATAAGCGTTTATTGAGGATATATATATTTCAATCAGTCACTTGTTCCACTCTTATTGGAAGTCTCAGAAATTCGACAGACGGAACATTGCAGAAATTACAGTTATCAAAAAGAAAAGTTCTAGAGAAAAAGAAATCCATGATCTTTGGGGATGAAAGTGTAAGCGCTCTTTGATGGTTCAACGTTGGGCCAATCAAAATGGTAAAAACAAGAATCGAAGATTGAATAGCACTTAGTGCCTCAATTTCAGAGGGCCGTGAAGGATTCAACAGTTAGGCGATATTTCTTGACCGACTCAGCATCAATTTTCCCGATACGACTCTTGCTAGACTTGACCACTGAGCATCTAAAAGCATCAAAGTCTTCGCTGCAAATAGTTGCTGTAAAAAGAAGCCACGGGTTTCAACAGGCCTCAATTAAGAGAGATGTCCCTCAGCGCGTTCTACCAAGCAGAGCACTTGCGCAACCGAAGGAGATGAGAAGCCTATAAATACCTACCTCCTTTAGCCCCGGCAATTTGCTCTACAATTTATTTACCTGACCCTGCAAAGCCGAGCAAGCCTGTGTCTGAGTCACTTGATAAGTCCTCTCCCATTGGCCCAGTACTGATATTTCCACTGTACTGGAATTTATAGAATACATCGTGGACCAGCAAGCCAGACAGTGCCCGTGAAATATACAGTCCTCAGCACACCCACTGTGCCAACCAGCCAGCTGATCAAAGAGACAAAACTTAGGCTGGCGGTCTAAGTGTCTATGCTAAGAGGTCTCCGCCACAGTAGCCGATTCGGCTGATCTAATGTACAGCCTCTGTGTGTATTCCCAAGGCGAAGGCGCGAGGTATGTAAATCTTATTCTGACCTGTCTGGAATTATACCGTATGATCCCGAAGACGATGCGATTTCAATCGAACCGAGGACATTCCACCTAATGCACGAGCGCAAGGACCACAGCTCTTTGCCGTCTCTTCGTCCCTGGTTTTGAGCCCACCCTTTCAGCACGGCAATGAGATATCTAATGGTCAAAGTTTTTAGAAATGCGTAGCACATTTATTTGTTTTCTAGTTCAGACATTTTATCAGACCCATAGAGCTACACCTGCACAGCTGAGCGTCTGACTGAATTCCGAACAACTTTCTCTTAAGAATTGAGCTCAAGATGAATTTTAACATCTTTTTTTCTTAGTTAGCCTGTAAGGCAAATCTACCTTCTTATGTCTTGGTTCTTGATATGGGCTTGGTTTGAGGTGCTGTAATTACTGGAGTTGAGGTATTAGATCATTTGTTCTCAACAGACACCGACACGGGGGCTCAGCAAGCAGAGAAGTGATATCAAATTTTAAGTGGTATATTTGTATAGCTTTATTGCGATTCTGATGCTGTTTTTGATTGAGAATGCTTCGGTCATGATAGCAAAGTCTTTTATAAGTGGAAGACATTTCAAAGACACCGAAACTTATACATGTGTTGGCTAGTAGAGAAGGGAAATAAGAGAGAGCTTATAGGAGAAAACGACCAGAAGTGACAGTAAAAGTGAGTCAGTTTGTAGCACCAATTTCGAGGAAGATAATCAGTGAAGGGTTTGGTAACATGTCTTAAGACTTTGTGGATATCCTTCTCACCATCCATCCTCCTTCATCATCAACCCCAGAGACCTCACCTCAATACTACTGCATAACCTTTGCAAGACTTCCATACAATATCACCAGTTCGACTGAGCCTTGAGCACTCGTTCACTCCAGTCTTAGCAAGCGCGATCTTCCCAAGCGGATGCCCTAGGTCCCTTAGGTATCCCTCAAAGAAATTCAAGCATCTGAAGCGTGATCAAGGGCTGTCTCGACCCATTCGTCGCAGCAAAGGTCCAGTTCACGAAGAAAATCAAGATGGCTCAAGCCCCCGTCCGGAGCTTCAAAGCCGGTGTCAATAAGTAAGTATTGTGATTCAAAAATATTTGTTTACCGCTACTAATCTGACTTAGATTTCAAGGACCAACAGTGACGATCACGGTCGGGCCCTCGAAGAAACCTTTCTATGTCCATGAATCACTTATCTACGCGTCTTCTCTTTTTTTCAATAAGGCTATATCGGGGTCGTGGAAGGAGTCCGAGGAACATGCTTTTGAACTCCCAGAAGATGACCCGCAGATTTTTGCTCTATATTCACACTGGCTTTACGTTGGCCAAATCCCCGTCATTGTTCAAAATTCAACAAAGGAAGAAGCAGCAAATAACAATTACAAGGAGTACTATGATCTCGTCAAAGCATATGTGCTCGGTGACAAGTTGCTCGATGTCAAGTTCCAGGATTCAACAATCCAGGCAATTGTCGAAAAATCCGCAGCACCCGGTACAGATGGACAGCGTCACTATCCCGGTGCAGGCACGATCATTTATGCATACGCTAACACGACCGAGTCTGCTAAAATCCGCAACCTCTTTGTGGATATCTATGTGGAAATTGCGGGACCAAGATGGCTCACCAAAGAACTCCCAAAGGATTTTCTCTATTCAGTTGTTGAAGGTCTCATGAAGAAAAGAGTGCCTCCTTCCAAGCCAATTAAAGCATCCGATTATTTCCTGCGTCCCTCGGGAAGTTGACTTGGAGAGCCTTGCCTAGACCTCTGTGTTCAATTTCAGCATCTCTACGGCTACTCCAGTGTGACAATGTTACCAATCTTCACCAGGTTTCTCTCAATTCACTCATCTTCCAACTTTGTTATGAACGAGGTCTGTTTAGCTCTGCTTTCCGGGTCAAAAATATCTATCGTGCTTATGGGTCTGCATGTGGAGAGCTGAGCGTGTAACTGAACTTTGAACAATTTCCCCTTGAGGATGAAGTTTAGTAGCCAGATGGAAATTATCTCACGAAGATCAAGCTCCAGGGCTTACACCCAGAAACTGCTAGTGAGTAGTTACAAGTTGGATCCTAGGTAACTAACTACCAATTAGTTTTGCTTAGATTTCTGGCCAACCCCACCACCCTAAAATATTGGGCAGTGGCACCTTGGGTTGTTAGTCTCCGTGTATTTCAAAATTAAGAAACGGAAAACAAAGCGGCACTTGGCCATGGACTCTCACGATCTAGGTGTCTATTCCGATAATGCCGCGATCAAACATCCAATGTGGATTAAGGCCATATACGGTAGCCACTGATGTATGCTAACCTTCTTCCTATTGGCGTTGCCAAGCACCCCGTCTTCTATCTAGCGCGCCACTATCACCATGTCAGTGCGCTAGTATTTGCTGTCAGCTTCGTATTTTCGTCAGGGATGGGCCATTCAAAACAAGTTCAATTCAGCCAATAGCCCTTCGAGGATTCCAAACCGGCACAATTGGTACTTATTTTGCTACTGTTGGCGGCAAAACCAGAAATGATAGTCCATATGGCGCATGATTATCTCACCGCTACAATATTAAAGCTGATTCTTGAGAGATCTGACATGCTTTCTTTCGCAAATTTTTGCCTTTGAATTTCTATATTTTCTGAGCAAACTTGGAACATGGCCGGTCTATTAGCGCTGGGAATATGTGGGTTGGTGATATACATTACCGTCAAAAGCATCTATCGGCTGTATTTCCACCCTCTCAGCAAGATTCCCGGGCCAAAACTTGCCGCTATCACAAGCGGCTATGAATTTTATTTCAATGTAATCAAGGGAGGAATGTTCATCTGGGAGATGGAGCGGCTACATGAGATATACGGTCAATTCTACCAGTCATGTGCAGTATTATCAGTCTGATTTTTCATTAGGGCCCATCATCCGCATTACCCCTCTTGAGGTGCATATCAAGGACTCAAGCTATTACGATGAGATATACGCCTCTAGCAAACGCAAACGTGAAAAGGCCGCTGAGTTAGTCACTCGGTTCGATCTCAAGGGCTCGACATTCGCTAGCATCTCCCCAGAGGACCACCGGCAGCGGCGTTCACATGTTGAGAAACACTTTTCAAAGCAGGCGGTCTCCAACATAGAGCATTTGATATATGAAAACATTGACAAACTCAACAATCATTTCAAACGCGCTTTTGAATTCCATAAAGTCATCAGCCTCGATGCTGGCTTTGCTGGGCTGACCTCCGATGTCATTCACAAATATGTCTATGGTTTCAACAGTGGGAACCTTGATGACGATGACTTTAACACGAGTGTGAGAGACGGAATCAACGGACTTTTCAAATTCTCTCACGTATTATCCTTTTTCCCAATCCTTCAAACCATCATGAACTCGCTTCCATTGTGGTTGCTCGAAAAGCTTGACCCATTCGTGTATGCACTAGTGTGCCAGAAGTTGGACCTTCTTCGTCGGACAGAGGAATTTCTGCAAAATAAGTCCTCAAACTCGGAAACTGGCACCATCATGGAAGTCATGTGTGGTCCCAGTATGCCAGAGGATATGCGCGGCGCTATTCGTCTCAGCAATGAAGGATTTTCATTGATTATCGGTGGTACTGAAACAACTGCTCGATCGCTAGTTATTGCGGCATTTCACATATTGGACAATGAGTCAATCAAAAGCAAGCTGCGAGAGGAACTGCGGACGGTGATGCCCACTCCTGAGTCTCGACCAACATGGAGGCAGCTTGAACAGTTGCCGTATCTGGTAAGTACTCTCTTACATAGTGTGATAACTGGTCTTTCTATGATCTTTATCTAGTGTCAATAACTCACTTATTCCTTATAGTCTGCAGTTGTGTGGGAAACATTACGTGTGTCTACTGGGATTGCAAGTCGATCGCCTCGTGTCGCACCTACTGAAGCATTGGTCTACAAGAATCACGTCATCCCTGCTGGAGTATGTGTAGGCATTGTTACTAGCTCCGCAGAATTTGTATTGATATAGAAATCTAGACTCCAGTCAGTGAGACCCACTATTTCGTTCTCACAGACCCCCAGATCTTCTCCGATCCGCACACCTTCGACCCAGACCGATGGTTACGTGCCGCAGCGAAAGGGGAACATCTGGATAAATATATGGTCAACTTTTCCAAAGGCAGTCGGATATGTGTGGGCATGAAGTAAGCTGCTTGAACTCCTCTCCTTCTTTCCCGATATCTAACCTACGTGATATTTCAGCTTGGCCTATGCGGAGCTGTTTCTTGTACTGGCGAGTTTTGTCCGTCGTTTTGACATGGAACTGTTTGAGACGAGAGCAAAGGATATTGCTTTTGCGCGTGATTTTGGAACTCCATATCCCGACGAGGGGAATTCCCGCGTGCGAGTTATGGTCACAAAGGTGATTGAGGAGTGAGCTTTCCACCGGAAATTAAATGTGAATTTCAATTTACAAGAAATAAAAGGCCTAAAAACGGCCTAAAAAAAGGAGGATACCGTAGTTGGTGTGCTCAAAGTTGGAAATATGAACTATGTTATGACTCACTGAATGATTATTGGAAGAGCCGGTGCCGTGATAGCCGATATTCAAGACCAATCATGAATGCTAAAACGATAACTCGTGTAAGAATATGTAAGAATATGTAAGAATACCGAAAAGGGAAGTCAGAACAACGTTATCTCCGTGCTAAGTCCGAAAGCTTGTGCAACTTTATTTTGGAAGGAGCCACCCGGGCACCTGGACGTCCTTGTTCCAGCATAACACCTCCGAGATCCCATTTCTCATCCCTCCATAGTTTCAAGATATCCAAAATGCCTTCGGATAACCACGTCAAAGCAGGCTTGGCTCTCATCGAGGACAAGTCCAAGGTCCTTGGCTTGACCATTGGCAGCCATGAGAACGTCCAGCCAGGCACATGGCTCCCCCGCACAGGTATGGACCAGTCCATTCCCTGGCATCCCCCTCCCTTCTCTCCCCTCCCCAGGTCGCGTGATCGGCAATCGAGATATGAACTGACAAAAACCACAGCAGCGCAAGAGCCCCCGAAGCTCTCCTTTGCCGGCGCCAACCCCACCAGCACCTACCTGGTTGTGGGCTTGGATATTGACGCTCCTTTCCCTTCCTTCGGAATCCTGGGACCCATCCTTCACTGGATCCAGTCCGATATCAAGGTCACTAGCGAGGGTGTGCTTGCGTCTGACGCGCCCTTCGTCGCCAACTACATCGGCCCCGCTCCTCCTCCCATGAGTGCACCTCATCGGTACATCTTTCTGCTGTACGAACAGCCTGCAGACTTTGATCTCACGATCTATGCGCCTGCTGGTGGCAAGAAGCTTAGCAACTCGAATCGCATGTGGTACGATCTTGATGCTTGGGCGGAGAAGATTAAGCTTGGTCCTCTTGTTGCTTTCAACTATTTTACCTCTAACTAGTCGGTTCTTTATCAACATTAATCAGATCTGTGGTTTGATGAAGTTCGAATGGGAGGATATGGTGTTTCTTGCGGTATTTTCCATTGTCGAGTCCAGGGGAACAACCTAGTCTCACTAATTGTCAGCTAATGGATGCTTTGCTTTGGTTAAATTAATGAATAACTCTCAACTTCTCAATATAGTAGCTATATCGTAAATATTCAAGGATATACACATATATGTTCTCTTGTTTCTGGTATTGGGCTGTAAAAGATGCACAAGGCGCTTTTCGACGACTCACTTGACTTGGGAATTTGCTAGATAATTTCGGATATGTGTTTACTGCCTTCAGCATCTGGGGTCAACGGAGAATTTCGGGGGCTTGAAAGGAGCATTGGATAATGTCTTTGCTGATTGTTTGACTGACAATTCCATTGTTGCATTGCCACCAACAGTATAAAAGGGCAATCAGCTCTTCCACAACGATATTCTGGGTTTAATTTCATGGGTACTTTGTCTTTGGTTCTCTTTCGAATTCCCTCATACAGTTTAAATTTGTGTGAGTTTTTCATCGAGAAATATGACTTCCAACAAGCCGGTAGACAAGCTGGCCGATAATCTGAAGGGCTTGGTCATCGGTGCCAGTGGTACAATTCCTGGATATCAACATGGTATGTTGTTCCTCAAATCAAACAGAAGTCACACACACATATAGGAGAGAGGGAGAGAGAGAAGCAGTTCCTAGATATCATTTGATGAATGACACCCGTTATCTAGGAGATATCAAGCGGATTGTCGAAAAGTGTGGTGCGAAGTTTGCATCGATGAATATTAGTGAATGTACTCATTTAGTGACAACCGAGGGAAATGCCAAGAGAAAGTTGAAAAAGAGTTAGCATTGAATTTCGTATCCCCTGGTATAAGAGTCAACTAACAGGGCGATTTCATTCCAGTCAGTCGGGCTCATGAACTGGAAGGCTGTGAAATTGTGAACATTGATTGGCTGCTCCAGAAGATCAAAAAGCACATTCCAGAGGCTGATCAGAATGAAATACTCAAGCGTGAGAAAAATGAAGGCGATAGACCTAAAGGCAAAAAGCGTGAGCGAGAATCTTCTGGGGATGACGAAGGAAACCCTTCAAAGAAAACGAAGGATGAAGAACAGATCAACCTCAAGAGGCTGATTGATTTAGTTGACGAGAGATACCCAACATCGAGTTAGTAATGCGATATAGTATCTTCTTTCCCAAGACTTGAATGTCTAACACTTCTTAGGTATTACGACTTCCGTTTACCAAGACGACGCGGGATTGATATGGGATGCCACGTTGGTCAAACCTGGTGTGGAAAAGCAAATCAAAGTTTTGCACATCCAGCTTCTCGTTCATCACGAGTTACAATTGTTCCACACATGGGACTTGCAGTGTCGATTTGGATCGTCTGGGGAATCAAATGCAATTGGAAAGTTCGGAAGCCTCGACTCGGCCAAGCGTACGTTTAAGACGAAGTTCAAGCTGTTCAGTCATCTAGCCTGGGAAGATCGGCATGCTCTTCCCCCATCCAAAGGCTGGTTCTTTCTTGAAATGCATCACAGGGAGGCACCCATCTTCACCAGCGAGATCAGCCCGTTACCTGCAAGCGTTGAAAATGTTTTGAAAATCATCTTCACATCAGGAAACTTGAAGAAATACGTCGAGTGTCTAAACGACCACGGGCGCAGTGTTTTGCTTGGAACCACAGTGGACAAGAAAAAGCTTCTGGTTGGGATTGCAGTTTTGGGTAAACTGATGGAGCTCACCAACCCTCAGCTGGCACCTGGGGACTATTCCAAGGCGAAGGAGAGACTGTGCAAGATCTACGAAGGCTTGATTCTGACAAATCTCACTCTTTCAGACGCCAATGATACCGTCAGGCAGGAACTGGAATCCCTTGATCTCTTACTCAAATTGCGCGATGCCAGCGAGATTCTAGAAAAGAACTCCCAGTCTTCCTCATTGGCCATGAGCCAAATATCCCAAGTACTTGGTCTGGCAAAAATGACTCCAGGTATATATATTTTTTTATTCCACCCTGTTGTAAATTCTTGGGTGCTTTGCAAAAGACCAAAACATGAAGCTAACCCCCGCCCCTTATGAACAGTGAAGGCAAATTCGACAGAGTTCAAGATGCTCCGGGAGTATATTGAAAAATCTTCTAGTCCAAAACACCCGTCTCAATTCAAGGCAAGCTGCGTTCAAAATATGTTGGCCAAAGCCCGGTTTAACGCTTTCACATTCCTAGGGGATAATGGGCATATTCCGTCTCGAACGTCCCGGAGAAGCAGAGCGTTTTGCCCAGTGGGAAAAGGAAAACCTTGCTAGTATCGGAGACCGGCGACTTCTGTGGCATGGCTCAACGTCTAGTAATTTTGCAGGGATCTTGAGTCAAGGGCTCCGTGGCGATGGAATTGTCAGTACCGATGGGAAGCACTTCGTTCCTGGAGTCTTCTTCGCCGACATATCCACCAAGTCGGCAGGATATTGCCGACAGAAGGGAGAAGCCTTGATGTTACTGTGTGAAGTCGAGCTGGGTAAAGCCTCGGCCGTTTCAGATCACCATGTTGGCAGAACTGTCCATCAAAAATGGCGCAATGCTGGATATATTCACCCAGATTTCAAGGGGATCCGGGTGCCAGATGTTCGCGCCGGAACAACGACTTCTAACAGCTACCCCGGTCTTTACTATTCTGAGTATGTGGCAAAAAGCCCATCACAGATTCGTCAACGGTATTTGTTCCACGTCAAGATTGTTTGAAATGTCAAGGACTTCGTGTAAAGAGGGTTTCAGGGGTTTGGTTTGGGAACTACAGAATGTTGAACTTTTGCTGTCAGAATGCGTTGGAATATGTTAGTGCAATACAATTCTGGATATTCCCCATTACACTGTATAGTGTACAAGCATGTGTTGCATAATGACAGAAATATAGTACGACAATTGTGTACCATTTAGTGGTATATAACTCTCTAACTAAATTGATAACCATTCGTTATATTCTAGGTGGATATGAAGGCGGTAAAAAAGCATGTTGCACCAAAGGCACTAAGCACGGTCCATGGTGCATTTTGATTATGTAAGTATCAGTGATCTCCGGGCCCCTGGGCCCCGCTACCTGCCCGCTACCCAAGTGGAAGTCAAGGTACTAAGGGACATGCTTTGTCCTTTGTAGGCATATTTCCTTGTAACTCTTCTCTCGAGTCTTTTGCTGCCCCAGATTATTCACGTCATGATTCATTTATGGACCGCCGCTTTGGTAGTAACTGCCGCGGCGCAGTACTTTCCGCCCATACCAGAGGGGTTGAAGGTAGTTGAATCGCAGCATCAAAAGGGAGTAAAGATTTCATACAAACAGGTGCGATTCCTTGCAAAGCTTTGACTCAGATATTATGTGGTCCTTCATATCAAAAAAAAAAAAAAAAAATCCTATGCTGATGAATTGCACAGCCTGGGATCTGTGAAACAACTCCGGGAGTGAGATCATATTCGGGTTACGTCCATCTACCCCCTGGTTCTCTGGACGATGTAAATGTTGATCAAGACTACCCGATCAATACTTTCTTCTGGTTTTTTGAGTCTCGTCATAACCCGAAGAATGCACCACTGTCCATATGGATGAACGGAGGCCCAGGAAGTTCTTCTATGATTGGCCTCATGCAGGAAAATGGGCCCTGTATAGTTAACGAGGATTCTAATTCCACGGAGCTCAATCCCTGGTCCTGGAATAACTATGTCAATATGCTGTACATTGATCAGCCAAATCAGGTCGGCTTCAGTTATGATGTCCTAACTAATGGTACATTTGATCAAGTTCAAGGAGCCTGGAACTTGTCGGAGTGGCTCGGGGTGCCCAAGCAGAATAGCACTTTCTACGTCGGCACAACAGCTAGCCAAGATAAGTCAACGGTGGCTAACAGCACTCAGAACTCCGCACGGTCACTATGGCACTTTGCTCAGACCTGGTTCACCGAGTTTCCACACTACAAGCCCCATGATGACCGGGTCAGCATCTGGACTGAGTCATACGGCGGTCGCTATGGCCCATCTTTCACTGCCTTCTTCCAGGAACAAAATGAAAAGATAAAAAATGGAAGCATCGATACCTCGGGGGGATCACACTACATTCACCTGGATACATTGGGCATCATCAACGGCTGCATTGATCTCCTAGTACAGGAACCGACATATCCAGTAATGGCATACAACAATACCTACGACATCCAAGCCATCAACAAGACCGTATATGATCACGCCATGGATGCATGGAGTCGCCCCGGTGGATGCAAAGACCTGATCACGAACTGTCGGGCGCTGGCCGCAGAGGGCGATCCGCAAATGTACGGTAACAATGAAACCGTCAACAAAGCGTGCCACAATGCCGACAGATTCTGCAGCAACAATGTCGAAGGTGCATACATAGAATATGCAGACCGTGGCTACTACGACATCACCCACAAAAACCCAGACCCTTTCCCACCGTCCTACTTCTTGGGTTGGCTGAACCAGCACTGGGTGCAAGGCGCACTCGGCGTCCCGATTAACTTCACCGAATCAAGCAATGGTGCCTACAACGCTTTCAAATCTGTCGGAGACTATCCGCGTTCTGACGTGCATGGCTACCTCGAAGATCTGGCGTACGTGCTCGACTCTGGTATCAAGGTCGCTCTCGTTTATGGTGACAGTGACTACGCTTGCAACTGGATTGGGGGTGAAGACGCCAGCTTGCTGGTCAACCATGCTGGTGCTTCTGGTTTCCGGTCTGCTGGATACACGCCTCTACGCACGAACTCCTCGTATATTGGGGGCCAGGTCAGACAGCATGGCAACTTTTCTTTCGCACGTGTCTACGATGCTGGCCATGAAGTCCCCGCCTACCAGCCACAGACTGCATATGAGATCTTCTATCGTGCGCTCTTCAACCGTGATCTGGCCACAGGCAAGATCAATACTGCACGTAATGGCTCATATACCACACGGGGGCCTCCGTCTACTTGGCATATCAAGAACAAGGTCCCAGAGAGTCCGGATCCGGTTTGCTATATCCTTGCTTTGGAGTCGACATGCACTGAAGATCAGATTGCAAGTGTGATCAATGGCACAGCTATTATTCGTGATTATGTGGTTGTTGATGTGGATGAAAAGTTGCTGTAGACTTCGTGCAATCTTTATGCACATTATCGTTCTGTGCACCTTACTAGCACATTCATATCACATATAGAAACGTGTATTCTTCTACAAATGATCTCTTATATGACCATGAACTTGCATGTTCGGTATCCAATATGCTCCCCTCCTGCAGCCAAGACACATATCTCAAAGTGTACCTGGTCGGATAGCGACTCGGCCAATTCAAGAAGGTTGCAGGTGGCACATAATTAGTTATCTCACATTTTGAACACGATAGGTGGACCCGGGGGTTTCACAAGCCGTGACAACCCTGCCTAGGTAGGTACTGCATCGCATGGAGGTTCGCAGCGTGTGGGTTCGGCCCGAACCGTTGTGGCACCCGATTGGATGGATGATGGCTCAGAAAACCGGGTCCCCGTTTCGGTCAAGTACATGTAGTTTCCTAGTAACTTCATCATGAGTTAGCGTGAGTTTCGGATGTGCTTCCCCGTGTCTGAATCATTATCATCCAAACAGGGTGTCTACCATCATACAATGTGACAACCTCAATGTTATCCTCCTGGTCGTCTCCAAACCTGGTCGCAGTGCTCTTGGTCCTAGCAGAATAGGGAGCATAGTGATGGATGATGGTGACAAATGACTCTCCATCTGTGGTCTTGTTCAACGACAAATATTGTTGTGAAATGTGGAGTCTGCAGTATTGTCGTAATATTATAGGTTCGTGACCTTGCCCTGGGAGGCATTCAGAATCGTCCCTGTTAGTCCGGTTCAGTCCCAACGAGGGCCCTCTTCGGGAGAAGTACGTACGTATCTTATGGTCTACTGAATTCAAAGTCGAATTGATAGATTGAGTAGTCACACGCGTCCTGTACTTTGCTGGAAGCCACACAAAGCAGTGTAAGATGGCTAGCACCTCCGAGTGGATATGGGACTCCCTCATCAATCAGTCTACGTCGGCGAGATCTCGGCATTGGTATTGGAGAAAGTAGGGTCCGTTAGATTAGGCGGGCAGTATCTATCGAGTATTAGTCTCTTTTTCCATGAGGTGAAAGAATCAAGCTTTTGGTTGCGAGTCAAGCATATCGACAACATTTATATTAGGCATCAGGTAGAACACTGAAATTTGAAACCGGAAGATATACTGTATGTGACTATCCAAGGCAGTCAAGCAATCATTGGGACCAAACTACATTGTTAGATATAGACTACATAAGCTCTGGTAACATGAGGGTCACGGGGAGACACCCAGGTACCCGCGTACCTTCCCGATAGGCGCCTTCCCTTTTGGGCCAATACTCGTCACCCCAGTTTCCCCATTACCTTAGGTCACTGAGAAATATAAATACCGTCCCCTTCCCACTTCTCTCTTTTCTTCTTCTTTCTTCCTTCTTCAACGCTCCGGGCTCACATTGCACATCGTGGTTCTGTTGTCCGAAGGTTATCCTGAGGGCACCGGTGATCTTTGATGCGGTCCAGTTAAGGCTGAAACTGGGCTAGGGCCTCAGTCCTAGTTCAATGGCACGAAGCATGTCGGGCGAACGGTCTGAAAGTAGCTCTAGGGGAACCATTAGGGAACTCCTTGGGAACTTCATCGGGCCCTCTTCACCTCACCTCTGTGGATACAGACTGTACTTTTCTGGGTTCTCCATTGACATTGGGAGCTGAACATCGTAGCCCCCTCCTCTTGCCATCCCTTCCTTTCCCTTCCCTTCCCTTCCCTTCCCTTCCCAGCTGCACGGGTCCTGTGTGCGGCACCTGAACAAGACTTGCACCTTTACGCGGTGTTCAGGATGAGTAGCCTCTCTGGTGAAACCAAGCAAGTCCTCGTTATCTAGAACTGCAATAGAACAATACATTTATTCAATATGCACTGTGCTTTTATAAATGCTTCTACGGTAACCTATGGACTGGTGGTTTGACATGTGTAAACAATTTTGGCTTGAGATAAATACAAAGCGCTTGATGGTGCCTTCTTAGGTACGCGTTCAAAATTTGTGCGTCAAACCTGTCTACAGGCCTATGGGCTCCCCATCTTTCATGTCAAGCTCCTGTCTCTCCACACTTGTCTTTTAAAACACCCGTTGCCACAAACAAACTGACATATCAACATACACCTGAGCTCTCTTATCTCTCTTACATAACAGTGAGTGTCCACAAGTATTGGTCAGTCCCTTCTCTATTCAACCAGTCTCAAACTCCTGAATTTTGGTACCTCGACAAGCATCTCCATGTGAGAACCTATTAACCTTGGATATCATAGCCAACGAACCTTTCTATCCTTCGCAAATTACAACAAATAGAATGGCCTTTCCACGCCGTTTTGGCTGGCTCGCCAGACCCTCGTTATTTGCTACTCCTCGGCAGTCCCAACTGAGCCCGGGCAAGACAGGACAGCTGGTGATGTACGAAATCACTTCCGAGATGCAGTGCCTGCTGTTCGACCGGCTGCGGTGGTGCTCTGAGATGGACTTTATGTGCGGATACCAATATACATGGGGCCTTCCTGATCAGCGCTGGACCGAGGATGTAGAACAGTTCTATCGAGAGAACGAGGCAGCACGTTAAGTGCATGACTTTGTTGAGTCAACTCCACTCGTTGCTTGGTTGTTGACACTTGCTAACTTGAGTTCTTATTACAGCCAAGCCCTGGTCAGACTCGACACCCACCCCACCCTCCAAACAGCCCTTCGAAAAACGAGAAACGAGAAACTAGAAACCAAGGAACGAACCCAACCCTAATCAAATTTAATTTGAAGTATCTATAGGCACAATTGCCTCCTGTTTCCTAGAATCACAAATCAAATCTTGCTATCACTCTATCACTCCAGTTTACTACTAGGAAAAGCGTTATGAAATAATCGTACATATCATTGCCTACATACACTTGGGTACCACTCAAACAAAAACAGAAAAAGAATAACAAAAGAAGAGCACACCAGAGAAAACTTACAGTCCGATGGATTCGAGAATAAAACATCCAAGTTTCAATTCATCTTCCACAGAGTGCTGTTCTTGAAGTGTCAAATGGTCTTCTGGGTTGACTCCGTCACCACAAAGCTTTATACTAAAAATCGAGTCAGCACATTCATTGTCTCATCATCCATGGATCCCTTGCGAATGCAGTTTCATCAATTCCGCCTTTGTAGGAACTCTCTTCCCAAGGAAGGGAGTAATATCACCAAATGCCTGATTAGCTCCTTATTAACAAGTGTTTATGTTCATATTCAAAACCTTGACTGCATACATAGAACAGGACTAGCCCATATCAAGTCTACATTTACTTGGGGAATGATCACAAAATACTTATTCATTGCCTATGGCTCAACAATTACAGAGAGGGTATCACTCAAACAAAAACAGAAACAAAAGAAGACTAGAAAATTCAAGGGAATTTATTGCTGTCCATCCATGGCAGTAACGTGCATGCGCCTGAGGCGCAGCTCATCCTCCACCGACTGGCGTTCCGACGCCGTCAGACGGTCTTCAGGGTCCACCTCCTCCGCCGAGAGCTTCACGGCGAGAATGAAGTTAGCACACCCAGACGATCTCAGTCGGCTCATCATTTCCGGGTCTTGCGCAAGAGCTAGCTCGTCAATTCCTCCACCCTGCGAGCTGGTGGTGCAAGGGACTAGATATGGGTCTTCGTACTTGGATCCTTTCCGGACCAGGTTTTTCTGGTCAACAATACGGTAGGCAAGCTGGCTTTTGAAGAGATTTTTCGCGTGCAGCTTTTCTTCAAAGGTGCCACCGGCGATCATGCGATACACATAAACGGGCTTTTTCTGCCCAATGCGATATGCACGGCCAGTTGCTTGTGCCTCCCATGTGGGATTGAACAGGAAATCAAATATGACAATCCTATTCGCGCCCTGAATGTTCAAGCCGACACCGCCAGCACGGGTTGAAATAAGACACACATGGGTGTTCGGATCGTTGTTGAAAATGTCAATTCGCTCAGGACGTCCAGCCGGGCCCACATTGCCTTCGATGAGGCAATGATTCATCTGCGCTCTGTGCATCAATTCTGCCAGGTAATGCAACGTTGGAATACTGGACGAAAACACTAGGACCTTGTCGCCAAGTGCAATTGCCTGGTTGACAATCTCATTGAGTATCGCCACTCGGCTGGATAGACTGGGGTCCAGCAAATCAGGAACCCCGTCCAACAGACTTTCCATTTCAGATGACACCACACTGGAAGGGATTTTCTCTTGGGCGGGCATATTCAAGCCGAGATGCGTACCATCTTCATCATTGCTGGAACTTTGTTGATGGCGAGAGGCATTTTTAACATCTCGAGTTTCCAGCTGTGCCTTGAACAGGGCGGGGTGGATACAGCAGAGCTGTAAGAGGTTCAAGAAGGACATAAGTTTCGTGCTCGCAACCTTGCACTTTCCTTCTATCAGATCATCAACAAAGAGATTGTACACAGTTTTTTGAAACCTTGTCGGCTCGAAATAAATGGAGAACTCGTATTTCCGTGGCAATTCGGCTATGAGTACAGACATGTCCATCCGCTGTACCTTTGGGTTGATGATCGCGAGAAACAGCTCCTGGCGCTGAAGGGCTTCTCTTCGCTCAAACCTGGTGCTTCCAATATGCGAACCATTTTCGATGGTTTTTATGAACTTGTCATTGAAATCTGCAAATGTTCCGAGGTATTGAGGGGCAACCCAATCGACCATCCAGTAGTAATCTTCCAAACTATTGGATATCGGAGTTCCAGTGAGGGCAATCCGTTTCCGGGTGCGCAAGCGGGAGGCGGCCTCGGCAATCTGGCTTTCATGGTTGCGTAAATTCTGAGCTTCGTCAACCACAACAAGAGTTGGGCTATTCAACACCCAACTCTTGACATTTTCGTTGACCGATTGTTGTGCCTGCTCCTCGTTCTTTTCTGCTTTCTCCTTGACAAGGTTGCGAAAGATGTTGTAGCTGAGGATCAGTATACCACCCTCATTATTCCACGCGCAAATCTCTTCGGTTCGGTCAACGGTCTGGTTTTTTGCCGGAATAGACCGAATCTTGCCAAGTTTGTGGTTCTTTGGGGACCACAATGCAAACTCATCGCGCCAGTTCTGAATCAGCGCTGCTGGACACAATAACAGGGTTTTGGACTCTCGCAATTCCTTCGGAATCTGGCCACGAACAGCCGGGTCTTGCGATGCTCCGGCTGCTGACATTGTTACTAGAAGTGAGATCCTATTTAGGAGTTAGTTTAGTTCTGATGAGGCGGTCAATATCACGATGATCATAACTTACACTTGCATGGACTTGCCCAGCCCCATGGTATGGGCAAGCAAACACCCTTCTTCTCGATTGTTCTGGATGATTTCTCGAAACATGAACTGTATACCAGAGAGCTGGTGCTCTTTGACATATTTTCCGATGTATGGGTCCAGGTAGATGACGGGCTCCTGGAAAGAAACCGGTTTCAAAGCTGTATTAGACTGTGATTCAAGGAGGACCCGTTTGTCCTGATCTTGCTGGTTCTTTCGGTGCTGACCCTCCTCCTGGGCCCGAGTCAGGGTGATCGGTCTCTTTCGCTTGGACGTCTGGTGCCCAATGGGGCTCTGTTCATGGGGTTTGACACGAGACGACAAATTCAACCATTTTCTGTATCCCTTGAGAAGATCATTCAAGCATTCAAAGAATGGTTTGAATTGATCTTCATCGAGGTCCTCTCCGATCGCCATGAGTGCAGCCTTGACTTCTTTTGCCGTAAAGGCGCCATGGGGGATTCGGATAACATTGATCCACGACACGAACAAGGCTGTCATTAACATTGCAGAATGGCTCTCTTCGGGGTCCATTCCCTCGATCACCGATAAATCGTCAGACATGTGTTTCAGCGCATCTTGAGTATTTTCTCGATAGACACAGGGCATGTAAGACCTCAGAAACCTATAAAGTTGGGTGATCCGGATTTTCGGCAGACCTGTGAGGGCCTTCGCTACCAGGCGAATTCGGTTTCCATTCTCTTCAATGGTTGCCCACATCATGGGATAGACATCGTCAAAAATGCACACGATCTCATCAGTTTCACTGCCGTTGTCGCTCGCCAAGTCCGCGGACTCGTGTGTGTTGAGGTACACCGGGTTCACGGGGTCGGTATTTGCCTCCGTCTGACCCTCTGCTTCACACTCCTTCGAGGGCAACGCCACGTCCTGGTCAAAGGGCAGAGTTGCCATCGGCATCAGTGGTGAAGTTTGATTATTTCGGTGGACGCTATTTTCCTTCAGACGGCGCCTCTTGGCGGCTGGGGGCTCGTAATTCTCATCTTTGTAGAAAAGATGACTGAGGTCCTCGTCTGAAGAGGAGTCATGGAACGGTCCATATTGATGATCTGCGCGAGAACGTGGCTCCTCCTGATCCTGTGAAGCTTGGTCCTCTTCAGAATCAAAACTGTCTTCAATATCAGAACTGGAGGCAGGATAGATACTGTGTTCCGATTGTTCCGGAGGTCCATCAGTGTCATGCATGAGATCCCAATCCGAACCCAGATTCTCCTCTTCGGTATCATGAACTGAATCTGAATCCGAATCCAGAGTCTCTTCGCCGTCCGAATTCACATTGGGCTTTTCTGGTCGCGGGGTGCGTGGATGACGAGCAATTTTTGCCGGTGGGCTAGCTTTTTCAAGAACGGAAAGCTTCCATTGATCCAAGCAAATATCAATGACAGTGGGGTCTAGGCATGCACATGCTTGAAGTAAGGACAAACGCGAGGAGTGTTGTGCCTCAGCTAGTGCTTTGCGGAGGGCTTGACGCCGTTTCTCCAGGTGGGAGAGCCGTATCGAAATTTGGCTTTTCATGCTCGGAAACTTTTGGCCTCTGACCCATATTTGAAACCCTTTCGACTGCTCTTTCGGTAATCGAATTTCGATGAACTGGCTGTTCCGCGAATTAATGTATTCATCGACGATTTCATTAAATTCAGCATCTCCCAGGATTCCCGACGTACCCGGGAGAGTGTCCGGGCGGGATTGCCCCTCATCCTCTTCCATTTCCTCGCGAGTCTCTGTATCATATTCAGATTCGGAGTTGGATTCTCCAAGAAGTGAGAGCACATCCGCATCGTTTGGGGGATAAGCCTTTACAAGATGATCATAAAAGGCATCGTTGCCGTAGGTGGGATTAGGAGCAAGTTGTTGATGAGGTGAACGTGGTTCCAGGAGAGAAAAATGGGGGAGGTCGTTCGATGATTGTGGTCTCCATCCGGCGCGGTTTCTTTTTCTCTGTTTGGGCCGGTGAAAGGGCATCAAGAAGAGGGTTGGGATTAGTAGCATCATCGGGAGTGGTGGGGTTGATAGGATTATCAAGAGATGTGTTGGAGTCAATGATATCGAGAAGAGGTTCTGGTGAAAGTTCATCTTCGCTGAGAAGTGCTTTGGGAGCCCGCTGTTGCTGTTGCTGTCGCGCCTGGAACTTCGGCGATCGTCGCTGTAACCATTTTTTGGCTTGCATGAGATACTGGCGGTGCGCAATAACTTTGATTCCCAATTCTTTCACATAGTGGTCATTGAAAAGGAGAAAACCTGAGCCTGAGATCATATTTTCCCGGAGGGAGATCTCCAAAGCCACAAGATCTGGGCAAGCCAAATTATAAGACCACTGTCCCGGTTTGTCACGACAGAGAAAAGTGACAAGCTCATCGACTGTCCAGTCTTGAGGGTCTTTGCTTGAAGACATGTTTACTCGGGGGGCCTGTACTGGGTTAACAAGCAGTTCAGATGTACCAGGCACGCATTTGTCTCAAGGATGCGACTGGGCGAGAGGCAAGCTTTGAATAAATACAGGTTTTACTTACCGTGCCAAGGCCCCCAATGCAAGTCAAAGGTGAAGCCAGTATAGAATCAAGTATGAGTTCAATCAGTAATGACAATGAAGGATGAGCTAATGGTATGCCAAAACAATAAACGAGGGATACGGGGTTAAAAGAAAGAGTTTGGGTGAGAGGGGAAGGGAGAAGAGAAGAGAAGAAAGAACAGAAAAGAGCGGGGGACCTCAATTATAAGAAACCACATCCACAACCCCCTCCTCCTTCCCAATCTGTGTTCTACGTGAAGTTCTTTTTTTGTGCCAGTATTTCAATAGGCGGTGAGTTATTTAGGCTAGAACAGGGCCACGGGACATCTGGGCGGTGTCACGTCAGGACGGGCCCTTGTCTAATCCAACATGACCCCGCAACGCCTTCTAAAGCTGACCCTCGCACACCATCGGAACCCAGATGCCTCCGAGGAAGCATGCCACCGCTTCATCACAGAGGTGTATATCCCTAAAGCAGTGGCGATTCATCAACGCCATAAGTTACAGGGCTATAGCTAAGTAAGTCACCATTCTATTACAATATAATCCCCCCAAATAGCAGTCAAACCTAATATGCAAAAAACACTTCTCCCCAACGCCAGTGCGGAATGTATTGAGCACCGCGTGCGAGCGTCTGCAAAACGGCTGGACAGTCGACACCCACGACTCGACCGTGGAGTTTTACTTCCGCGACATCGCGGACTTGGTGACTGTGTCCACCGACCCAGATTTCATTGCTCTGCAGGCAATCGAAGCGCCTTATATCAGCAAGGAGGGTGTAGTCGCCCAACTTGGATGGGTGGAAACCTACATCGCGGATCAGCAGGTGGTGAACTTGGTTGATGGGAAGTCGCAGTATCAGAGCTATGAAGAGGCGTCTTCTATTGAACTTACGCTGTGAAAATGTTGTTTTTTTAAGCAAATCTTCGAACCTTGCTAGTGCAGGGTTTTATTATAGGAACTCCGTCCGATGATATATTTTATAAATAAAGGAAAGGATGGGGTATCCGTATTAAATATCGAATATACGCCGATAGGCCTAGATTACCCTTCCTTGTATAAAAATAGCTATATATTCATGGTAGACCTTCGGGGTATACCACGAGGAAGAATTGTAAGTAATGGGTTTTCAATTGATTATAAGTAAGACAATGTAGTAATGATGAAAGATGACTGGTGGAGAGAGTGGTACTGGGAAGGTTTTAAAAACAGATTATTAGAGGTGAAGGGGCTGGTGGAGATAAGATAAGCGATGATCACGTGATTAAATGGACCACCAGTTGTCCCGGCGTTCTATAGTGTGTTTCTGCCTCAGGCGTCAATAAATGCCCCGCCAATTACAAATCCCCAGAATTCCTCAGAAGGTTGTCCCGGAGCCTCGGTGAGGTTGGAATATTTGCAAAGTCTACGCAACTTGGGAAGGTCGTTAAGTACCCTAGTAAATCAATTCCTGTTCATTATCAATATGGCAGAATCAATCTATTCAAACTATCCACCAGACCTGTCCCCAGCTCAACAAAAGTTTCTGGTCACATCTGTGAAAGACTGGGCTATTCAAAATGGTCTTGCTGTTCGACCATCCCCAGCAATTATCCCAGCTGGAGCAGATTCAAATGGCGTGCTGGCTACAAATGCGCCAGTGACATTGTTCCCCAGTCCGTTCCCCAGAGCTTGCTTCGAGGAAGCGACTGCTCTCCAAGAGATCTACAACGAACTTTATGCTATGATTACATGCAATGAAGAATGGCTGGGGAAGATCGTGGAAGGGTAGGAACATGTCTGCTCTGGCACAGTTCATTGCTAATTATTGGCTATTTACAGGCTCATTGAAGTTGATGACTTTGTCTCGAACTTGTGGAAGGTTCATCTGGACGTGCGAAAGGAGGGATATGTTCAAAACCTGTCACTGGGCCTTTTCCGATCCGACTACATGGCCCATGTTCTACCTACAGGTCTTCCGGCTCTAAAACAGGTTGAATTTAACACCATCTCGTCATCGTTTGGAGGACTTTCAGCTCTTGTGCGAAAAATGCACACCGAGCTTCTTGCCTCGCCGCCGGGTTCATCAATCAATTATCCGCCCCATTCTCTACTGCAATCCGGGGTTCCGCCTGAAAACACCGCAGTGGAAACCCTCTCGGCAGGTTTGGCAGCAGCCCATGAGGCCTACGGAGTGTCCAAGTCCACCCCGGCCCTCCCTCTTTGTGTTCTCTTTGTAGTCCAGGAGACAGAGCGAAACGTTTTTGATCAGCATGCACTTTCGACACAGCTCAAGGCAGTTCACAACATTCCAGTCTTCCGTGTGGCCAGCGTCGATGTCTTGGATCAAACATCCATTCCCAGCTCAAACTCCTCGCGGCCGTTGTTGTACCAGCCCCCTCACTCTCCCGACTCAACCTTCGAAGTAACAACTGTTTATCTTCGGGCCTACTATGCACCAGACGAATACAAATCCAGCCGTGATTGGCAGGCCCGAACTCATCTGGAGCGCTCTGCGGCGATCAAGTGTCCGACGGTGCTCAATCAGCTATCCGGCTGCAAGAAAGTCCAGCAGGTCTTAGCAGAGCCGACAGGACCAGATCATCTTTCAAGCTTCTTGAAGGGCATTGAAACTACGCTTGTTGAAAGAGTTCGGGATACCTTCGCCCCGCAATATGACCTGTCGGTCAACAGTCAAGGTCGCGATCTAGCCCTCAATCCAGATACAGCCCTGAACCATGTGCTCAAACCACAGCGTGAAGGGGGTGGCAACAATGTCTACAAATCCGATATTCCAGGCTTTTTACGGTCCATTCCAGAATCTGATTGGAGAGGCTGGGTGCTTATGGAACTCATCAACCCTGCAGCCAATGCCCAGAATGTTGCCTTACGGAATGACGGCGAGGTCATTCGGGGGGACGTCATCTCTGAGCTTGGTGTTTATGGTACAATTCTTTGGGAGAATACTGGGAAGGTTTTACACAATGAGCAAGGCGGGTATCTGTTGAGAACTAAAGGGAAAGAGGTGAATGAAGGTGGCGTTGCCGCAGGATTTTCCAGCTTGGACAGTGCTCTTTTGTTCTAGGGAACACATCTGACATTTACAATATCCATGATTCATATATCGCATACATAGACGGAATTTCCAAATTGAGAACAATCGCAGGAGCTTTGAATCAATTCCACCGTGTTAGGATCATCCATAGTTCTTATTGCATTACAGAGTAATATCCACGGGGCACAAAGCTGTTAGTCATTCTCAAGACGCACAACTGCAGTGGCCTCTCCCACGGGCCCAGTCTAGCGGCGTCAAAATATACCCGCCGCCAGATATTCGGTTGGTAGCATCCACGCTGAAACGACAATACCCAACATACAGCCTGCCATTTGCATTGTACTTGGTATCCAGGCAAGCCAGTGGGGTTGCAGGATCGGGATCGGCTCCACGGTCCAAAACCGACAGGACCAGACGAGCCAGGTAGGAAGGCAAAACGAAACGAGGTGACATGGGGATGGGGCGAGACAAAGGGACGAAGGGAGACAGTCCTCGTATAGAATATGGAATTTGAAAAAGAAAGAAAAAAGCGGCGAGGCCGTCTTAAGAGTCGTTTATTCTAACCAAATTGCGCAGAGATACGAAGCATATCTGGAGGCAGGCTAAATGCAGAGCAAAGTCTACGATAGTAATCCAATATATCTTTCTTTCTCGGCTAATTGCCATATTCCCACTACAGTTTTGGCCGGCTGTTTGTCCGACGGCCTTCGAGGCCAGATGGCCCGTCGTAGATCTGTGTCTCTACAAGTCGAGTGTTTATCTGGACGAATATATTGGTCAGTTCACTTGTAGTCGAAGACTCCGAACTGTAAGGCTGGGACACATATGCAGACGTACGTGTTGTTTTCCAAGTTCATCAACATTCTTCACCCCCAGAAGTCGCATGCATGTTTTGGTCTCGTCGGTCAAAACTAAGCTGTCAGTAAATCCTTCGCAGACCCAGGTTTCGCTTATCATACTTTGCAATGTCCTCTTTACGCCGTCTACTCCTCCGGCGCCCAAGCCCCAGAGCGCAGCTCTTCCTATTCCAACACCTCGTGCACCCAAACAAAGAGCCTTCACCACATCGGTTCCCCTCTTGATCCCGCCGTCGACCCATACCTCAATCTTATCGAAAACCTCGGGGCAGTATTTTCGGATTTCGAGCAGGGTGTGGACAGCAGGAGGGGCCGTGTCAAGAGATCGACCACCGTGGTTCGAAAGGATGATTCCTTTGACTTGGGGCGTATATTGTGTGGCAATGTACGCATCCTCGTGTGTTTGAATGCCCTTCAGAACAACCGGAAGATCGGTGTGTTTTGCCAACCACGCGAGGGTCTCTGTCCATGTGAGAGAAGGATCCATTCCCTTGAATACTGGGTCTCCACTCTGGATGATTGGCGCCGTGTCATTGCTGTCACCCTGATATGGAGCCTCGGAGCCGATGACGTTGCCGCTGCGTTCGTCGTCCTCTCTTTTCCCGGTCACGGGGGAATCCAGTGTCAGAGCAATAAATTTAATTGCACTCAATTTATTGATTCGAGCCAGCATTCGTTCGCTCTTGGTGCGATCGTGCTGCACATACAGTTGCCAGCCAAATACTTGACCTGGGGTGGCGCCCTCAACAATCTGCTCGGGCGTCATTGACGCACTATTTGAAATGATCTGCAAAGCACCGAAGCTGCGACATGCTTCTGCGATTCCAGCTTCCCCAGAAGGGTGCCCTAGCCGGGCCATAGCTGCTGGGGAAACATAAATTGGGATAGAGACATGGTTGTCTAACAATTTAGTGTTTAAATCGCATTCCTTGCAGTCCACAAAGACCTTTGGTCTCAATTGGATGGAGCGAAAGGCCTCGGTGTTTTTGTGTTTGCTGATCTTGTCGTCGGATGCCGAATAATAATAGGCCCACGCCTTTTTGTTCACTATTCTAGTGGCGGCGTCTTCAATCTCATCTAAATTGAGCAATGTCTCAACTGATTTGTGTTCACTCATTTTCCCTATGGTTTCCTTCCGACTCAAGTGGGAAAAACGCCGAGAGGCTGAGCGGGAAATCAGGGGTACATTGCCGGATCCTTTTTCTTTTTTGGGATTAGCGTCTAAGCCGTCAACCCCCAATTTGGAACTTAATATACGAGGGAATCCGTATACTACGGACTATTCCGTATATTAATATTAAATATAGATTTGGAGTCTTATGAGGTTATGGCCTTTGAACAGTTAGGATCTAAAACCAATATTGAGACCAAATACTGGTTAATTCTATTCCCAATTCATGGCCTAAGGAGAGAGAGAGTACATACATTAGAGCACTTAGAATAGGGACTCTGCAAATGACGACATCTGATTAATACACCTGGGCATGCACATGCTGTTTCAAGTTTTCTCCTTCCCTTTTTCTCCGGATTTTTTTTTTTTTCTTCTGCACACAGGTCTGCTGCACGGGCTTGGATCGAGAATCCGTACCCAATCGTGATTCGGACGATTCGCGAGTAATTCCCCATTAAATCGCCAATAGAAAGACTAACCAAAATTTCCCCTGAAGGGCTAAAATTAAACGTGCGGACGTGTCCGTCCACCCCACTCCGGTCTAGATGCCGTTAAAACGGCCCCTGTCAGGTCAAATGTCAAATGGCCCGTGTTCCACTGTTTCACTTTTCACTTTTCACTTTTACTTCCCCTTCTTTTTTTTTTACCTTTTTTTACCTTTTTTGTTTTTTCTTCCGTTACTCTTCTTTATTTTACTTTCGCTTGTACATTTTCTTTCTCATTAAATCTGTTGAGATCAGAACCGGCCAAGTTCCGGCTTCATCCACCTTCTTTTCTTCCTTTCTTCTTTTTCCCTTTTCATTTCTAACTTTGATCGTCTCACAATGACCGACGGCCACAGTGCCCCTGCAGCTGATGCTCCAGCTCCAACAGCGGCAGCAGACTGCACTGCTGCGCCAGTTCCAGCAGATGTACGCTCGCATGCCCACCATCAGGCACCGACCCATGACAAGGAGCAGGCCTCCTCCATTGGCCGTATTACCCCTCGACCAACGTTCTTGGAACATCTGGCTACCTCGCGAGACTCGCAATTCCAGTTTGATCGACGGGATTCGAGCGAATTGGACCGGTACTTTGTAAGTCAATGCTATTGCGAGATAATCTAGATAGATGAACAGATGGATAGAAACACGGTATAGGATAATAGATTGGGAGGCTAACATACATCTTCTTGGTCTAGCATGGCCCCCGAAACATGGAAAAGCATTCCAAATGGCCTATCATGATGCGAATGCACGGCAGCGTCATGCCAAAGATGATCATGCCGCTTTTGACGGTCGTTATTTGGTCGACCGCTATTACTGTCTTTTCGCGATTTGTCCATAACAGTGAGTAGTCCCCAATGGATCAAGAAACCGGTTAGAATTACATACTAACTCGAACAAGTTGGTATCAACAATATTCTACTCACCGTGCTGGGTTTCGTGGTGGGTTTGGCTTTGTCATTCCGCAGCTCAACTGCATATGAGAGGTATACCATTGCCTCCTTCTTAGCTTCAACTCGAGCCACATGCTAACCCGGTTTGTGCTACAGATGGGCAGACGGGCGCAAATATTGGGCCCAGCTCATTCAAACGTCTCGCAACCTCTCACGTACAATTTGGATCAATACCGGCGAGAGAGAAGGTGAAGAAGGAAAAGATGACATGTTAAGAAAACTGTACGCGATACCCAAGGGAAGTGTATCTTGGTTTCGTTGATTCTAACTGGCTCTGTCTAGCTCCGCGATGAACCTCATTTTGGCCTTCGCCGTCTCCCTAAAACACAAGCTCCGCTTCGAGCCCGATATCGCATACGAAGATCTGGCTGGCCTAGCTGGACACCTTGACACTTTTGCCCGTGATGCCCACGACCGCATGGTTGTCAACCCTCCGCCTAAATCTATTTGGAAATCTGCAGGAGAGTACCTCGGTGTGTCCTTCGCCGAGTCAAACCCTCGGAAGTATATCAAGCGGTCTAAGAAGCCTCTTGGACATTTACCCTTGGAGATCCTCAACCATCTGTCCGCATATATCGATTCGTGTGTAGCCAACGGTACTTTGGTTTCAACCCTGCACCAGGGACAAGCTAGTAAGTCTTCGACCCCCTATCTTGTGGTGCTCCCACTCTAACCCAACAACAGTCACTATGCTGTCCACCTTGAATGAGGTCTTGACTGGCACAGAACGTGTCCTGGACACCCCCTTGCCTACCGCATACAGCATTGCCATTGCCCAGATTTCGTGGATTTACATCCTAGTACTTCCATTCCAGCTCTACAACGCCTTGACATGGATCACCATCCCAGCATCAATCGGTAAGACGCACTGGATCATCTCCCTTACACAAGTACGAGAGCAATTCTAACAACCCCCTGTAGTGGCTGCCTATATCATCCTCGGCTTGGCTACAATCGGCAGTGAAATTGAGAACCCCTTCGGTCAAGATGTCAATGATCTTCCACTGGACACCTACTGCCGACAGATCGCCGTGGAAATAGACATCATGACTGCCACTCCCCGACCAGATGTCGATGACTTCATGTCGCGCGCTGACAACCTCGTCCTATTCCCTCTTAGCCAGTTGGGATACCCTGACTGGAAGGAGCGGAGCGTCGAGGATATTCGTGGCGCACTTCGAACTAAGATGGTTGTCGGCCCGTCATCTGCATCTGCAACGTCAGATACATCTACAATGGTGGAAAGCGCTCGCCCCAAGACCACTGCATCATCAGTCTAATCTTCCTTGCAAATTTGTCACCAAGGGAATACAAAAGGTAATCTTTTTGGCAGAAGACGAGAATTAATTGTGCATTTAAATAAGCGGCATCAAATTGTTTGTGATAGTTGACCAGCGTGTGAGTTATGGCGTTTTCATCTGAGTCATGTTGACTCTGAATCGAACCACAAAAAAAAGAACTCCTTGCTTGTCTTGGAGTTCCGTAAATAGATTCATAGTGGCTCCCAAATCGATTCATCTTCTTATTACACACGAACATTCCAAAAGTGCTATATGTCCTCGGCCCGCTGATATAGGCCAAGTGTCTGTGTCTTATTCCGTCCCAGGAAGCGACACGACCTCAGCCTCAGGCACTCAATTGTTGCCAGACTCTCGGTATCAGACCAAGTCAATCTCGCCCCATTTAGAGCTGGCATCGTCGTCGCATGTATTCGATGGGGTTACTGCTGCAGCCCTGCAGCCACACCCATCCCATGTCACGCCACTGGTCCCGCGCAGTATGCACGACAGCACACATGAATTGCGATGGAAGTCACATGGGCCTTACTATGACCCAAGAGCAATAATTTGACAAAGAGTCAAATATATAGACTAGCCATAGTTCAGAATCGTTTCTTGTAGTACTTGCTTTGAAGCAGGAGTACAACCCCCAAACCTAGGGGACGAACAGATCAGCCCCAGATCCGGCAACCAGAGCACCTAGGAAGTTTCCCTTGGCGCAAACCCTCCATGCAACATCCCCAGAGCCCGACGAATTATTTCCGCCGCCAATCCATGAGCTCACTGCGCTCACGACGGCCGAGGCATCCTCGCGAGGAATGCGAATCCACACAATATCACGCTTCGTGGTTGATGAAGATTCATTCTCAATTTTCAGGATGTCGATCGGAATGGCCGTTCCTGTCAGGCCGAGGAATTGCGACAATGCGGAGGAGAGGTAAGTTCGTGCGGAGAGGGCATCGAGGGGTAGTGGTGCACTTCCCGGTTGGGGGATACTATCAAGGTTAACTTGATTTTCGAGGGGAAGTTTCTCCCTGAACGCGAACGAAGAAAAGTCGATGGATAGCTTACAGCTTGAGCTTGAGGTATGTCCAGGGTGGGTTGCGTGATGTGAAATGGAGAGTCTTTGGCTTTGGCTCTGGCGCTTTGCGCTTCGTAGGTTCCGTTAAAGGAGAATTCGTGTCAATTTCCATATCGCGGTGGGTATCCTCTGTCATTCTTGCTGGTTCTCTGAACTGTTCGGGGTGGTCGGAGGTTGATGTTCGGCCGGAGCTCCGCCAAAAAAAAAAAAAAAAAAAACAGTGACGGGAGTTTGCGTCACGGGATCAAAGAGTAATCGAGATGTGTCAAAAACATGAGCCAGCAAGTACGAATTAACAGGCTCCAGATTCGATGTTCACACTAGGAGTTTCGTGTCATGACAGCGGCCTTTAATATTTGTGTCGCACGCTGCAAGTATGCTGTTTCGCCGTCGTCTCCGATCTCCAGGTCGGCAACACACAAGGTTTTCTCTCGTGATTTCGCGCCGTGAATAACCTGGACGCTCGATTTTGGAACTTTGAAGATCTGATGAATGGTCAGACAAAAATTTGGGACTTTATTCCATAGACAAGACGGGTAAGAAAACACATCCAGGGTAATTCTAACCTCTGCAACGACATGCGACACTGCAATATTAGCTGCCCCGTCGCGTGGAACAGCAGCCACGGAAATCTCGACTTTATCAATTCCCACGTTTATAATACCTGTACGGCGAGCAGAGGAGTTTGGCTTTACATAGCAAGGGATGTGGAGGTTGAACATTTTGCGCGAACCCGGGGTTTTGCTTGCAACGAGGCGAAGGAAAGAATATGAGCAGGACATTTCTAGTTGCGGTCAAGTCAATATTACATATAATTGTGGAAGTGGAATGAAGAAATGTTTCAGTAAAATCAATTGAAGTAGACTAAAAAGCAATTGATAAAAGTGGCCAAGACGGTCATAGTTTAGCCCTAAATGGGGGAACTTCCCTCTCGGAAATCCACGGGAAACAACATCCCATACGAAATCAAAAAAGGAAAAATAAAACCAGCAGTAATTTGATCTCGTAGATCATGAGTTACATCTTGAGCTCCGATCAAACGTGTTCGGCGTAACGCTTATTCTCGTCGGCCATCGCATGCTTCTCCGGAACACCAGCGGTTCCGGCGGCTGCAGCATAATCTTGGGTGACCTAATAAAGTTCGAGGCAGATCGCATCTTTGCGCATTAGGACATACCTCTTAATTCACTGCGAGAGAACCTTAGTGAGTTGGTATTTAGCATGAGTTCGGGCCGGGACCCCGAACTTGTTAGTTGCAACCGCCCAGGCCATTCCAACTTCACGGTGGGACAACGGAAACACCTCGGCAGAGTAGGTGAACGGAACTGGTCCTTCGCCAGGAGAATAGAATGGGTCGAAGAGGTAGACGAAGAATGTGATCAAAACAATGTGCGCGTTACTGCTTGTGGGAATCCAGAAACAGAACCCAGCCAGGCGAACACGAAATCGATGACGCCGAACCCGAATGATGCAATAAGCTTCGTGCACCGGCCAGCTGAAAGATAGTTGAGGAGTAGAACGAGATATCATTGACTAGAAAGTAAGTATATCATTAGTCCATTTCTTCCCATGTCTTGAGGTTTGTACTTAGTTCCACACATATACTGGACGATCATCACAATACCCGAGGCTTGGACGGCACGACGCAGACGGGGCACCATGAATAATTCGACAAAACGAACAAACATGTTGTCGCTCTTGGAAAATCCCGACTCAGCAATCAACTGCTTCTCCATCTCCAGCTGGACATGAATCTGATACAGGTCTCTGGAAGCCCGTAGAGGGCTATTGCACAGACTTAGAAGAGATGCAAAGGCTTTCTTGTGGTTTTACTTGGTCATCGACCATCGTGGAGACTTGGGGCAAAGCCAGATACCAAGAAGTAATGGCACAGCTGGAATAAAGGCAGAGCCTAGCTGTAGTCGCCAAGAAATATCATCAGTGTTGGCACAATGAAGTTCGGGCACGTTCCGAGGAAGATACCAATGGCTAAAGCTGCCATAACATAGCTAGGCTGCCACGAATGTTTGTGGGTGCGTTTTCTATTGGATGATTAGCTTTAGTATGTTAGTCGTGGCTGTATGGGATGTATAGGTCAAAAGCACCTACCAGCTGAGTAAACTGGGACGGTGACTTCTTAGACTTCCTTGAGACTCATGCCAGTTCCGTGCAATGAGACGGATAAGGATCGAAGTTTGCCAAGTCCTATCCTACTCGATTGTTACTTCCGGTTGGCTAAGATCCTAAATGCGTCTGGGATGGCAGTAGCATTTGACTTCGACTTTGACGAGTGGGAAGAGGTAAAGGCTAGGGTGGGTATTCAGCTACCTGAGGATGGTGATATTGATATTGGTCAAGCTTTGTATGTTGGTCTTGAACTATGTGGTTATGCTATTGGGCGAAGGGGGTTTTAATTAACGATCATATCTATTAAGAATCTCGGATTAACTGAATATATAAGCCTGGTATTCGAGAAAGAGTCTGATCTTGTGATATATATGTGTGAATACGCGTGGTGCTCGATTAGGAAACTTAACCTTTTTCCTGATAATGAATCCGTAAACCACCCAAAGGGTTGTCGAGATATGTTTGATATTCTTTGCGAGAAGTCAGCATGCACTGTTGAAAACATGCATTTATATGAGAATTACAATCTACAACTCTCAATTTGTGTACAATTGTAAAAGGGCAAATAACCAAACGGAAAATTAGCGGGCAAACCGCTATTTTTGTTGCGGAGCTTATCTTTAGGTCAAGGCTCTTCGGTCCATCAATTCACATGTGCCAGAGGTATATATGATTCTAATACTTATCATTATTACGAGTCGGAGTTAATAGTGCGAAAGTAAAGTGGAGAACGGGAAGCCAAGAAGCCTTCCAGGGCTGTGACCCCGCATCCTCGTGGCATATGTACACATTATGTATGGAGTAGTTCCATACTATTCAATATCATCTGGTTCTATTGGGATTACTACTGGTCTTTAGCTGTTATCGTTCCATACATGAGAGATTGAAAGTCCAAATCTCATCAATGTAAGCCGAGGCTCATGCCTCCCGAGGTCGGCTTACCCCTCGGGGTCTCCGGGTTCACTTGGCATCGGTCTCCGTCGAGTACTCCGTCGAGTACTCCGTCGACAACATACACAGGATCAATTTGTTTGACTTTCCACTAAGATGCAGGGTTGCGTACCTGAAGCAAGTCAGGGGTCGCCCTCTCTCTCACGCTATCATACTTAACCTCTCACAAGCCTCGCCTGGGCAGATCATAGATCCAAAGGCACAGTGGGGCCGAAAATAGAACTAGGGGGGTTCTGGATCTACCCTATCACTGTGCAACTCCACACCAAAACCCTCGGCCGTGTTACCATTTTTGATATGGCGTGGAGTCTTGACTCGTGTTTTTGGATCTAGGACTCATATTCGTATGTTGTAGGGCCGTTTTTTCTTCCAAGGTTTTTACCTTCGTATACGTTAAACTCTGTCCTCGAATCATACATGGCTCTTTTTTCCCGGAAACTTCAAATGTTCTTTGATCTACTACTTATGGTTCTATAATGGGAATAGAAGGTATCGACCATCCCTGTACATTATATCTCCTGCATGCCTTTAGCGGGGGGTTTTATCTTTTGATCTACATATGTACGCAATATATTCATATGGGTTGGCTCTCTTCACTTTCTTCATTCCTTGATCTTCAACTTTCCTCATTGCTGGCTTGGGTTATGGCAATTCCACTTGCCTAGGCACACTTACCGATTCTATTTCATTTGCACATTAATACTCCAAATATAATTTTTCTTCTTCCTTGCACGGATGAGATTATGAGATTCCCACCAACCATCGTGGACTCATGGCCAACCCCAAACTATATCGATCCTCCCACGCGCGGGCACGGCGTCCTCATTGTGAACGTTGTCTGTCTAGCCTTGGCCTTCCTACTCGTCTCCCTCCGTCTATACACCAGGCTCTGGATCACATGCAGCGCCGGTGTAGACGATGTGCTTATTGTCGTCGGTCTGGTCTTCGCCATCGCAATGGCCATCGTCACTTCAATCGCCACTGAACAATGGGGCATGAATCGTCATATCTGGGATATTGAATCAGATCGGTTCATCGCTATCCGGAAGCTGAACCTCTGCTTCCAGCTATTATTCTTGGTGTCGTCCTGTTTCATCAAGATCTCTCTGCTGTGGTTCTGTCGACGACTCATTGGGAAGGTCAACTTCGCGGTGTATAACTGGGCGTTTATTCTGTCCATCGTTTTCGTTGGGGGTTCTAGTGTGCTGTTTATCGTTATCAGCATCTTTCAGTGCTCGTTAGTTGGCCATCTTGTGTCATGGTCTTGATACGTTGCTAATGTACCCTATAGACCTATCCGCGCATACTGGGAAATTAATACCGAGCCATACCACTGCATGGATGATGGCGCGATTGTCTTCTCCGCCAGTGTGATCAACATCTTTACCGATTTACTAGTCACAGCTCTACCAATGCCATTAATCTGGAGTCTGAAACTCCCCGCTCGCCAACGACTTGCCGTTATCTCCATCTTTGCCCTCGGTGTCGTCGTGAACGTAGCCGGCTGTGTACGAACCGTATACGTGTGGAAGAGCATGATGACTGGTTATGATGGGACCTGGCTTGGATGGCCGGGGCTGATCACTGCCGTAGTGGAACTCAGCCTGGGATTGGTAACAGACCAACACTCTCACTAATAGAGATGGTCAATGCTAATAATTAACAGATCTGCTCTTCGGCACCAGCGCTCCGACCCCTCATTGCAGCCTTCCTACCTCGCCTCCTCAGCTCAACCCGCAACATTAGCTCATCCTACAATCAACGGAGTCGCACCCACAAGCTTTGGTATTCAACTGGCCGCTCTCGAACATCCCGTCTTGTTGCTAATGACTCACACCATCCCGGTTACAACAGCGATCGATTTGAGATTATGCGCACCGTTGAGATGGAGAGCTGGACTGAGTCACGGCTCGCGGGCCATGAGAAGATGGGCCACGGTTATGATATCACATTCGATAACCACAGCCGTACCCTCAACCCTGAGGATAGCATTGATATAAAGATGAGCATGGTTCATGCCTCTCCTACGAGTGCTGGCTCCTCTGCCTCTGGGCCAAGCGATACGCATTCTCATTTCGATGATCGGCAGCCGCGTTAAATGTACTGTCTTGATACATTCTTTTATGAACATTTATGTCACTTTAGCCTGGATGATTTTATTGTGCTAGAACGGATACTTCACACAAACAACGATACACTTTAACACTACCATGACTCTAATGATGACTTCTTAAACAAATGCACAACTCACCCAAATAATTTCAACATAGAGTCACTTGCCTCCTGTAGCATGTAGAAGTGTGATATGTCTAATACGATATAGATACACTCGATGTAGATGATACATGATCTCGCGGGGCTAGTACGTTGGAGGTATACACAAATACCTCCAGGGCCATATAACTAGGTACTAACATACACCTTAGGTGTTGTTAGCGAAGTCTAGATGCAGCAAAAGTATTCATGTCAGACAAAAAAAAATGTCGTTGTCATAGAACTGAAAAACTAATCGACTAAAAAGAGTCAAGTTCAATTAAGATCAAACAAAACGATGGTTCCAGTCGACCATGGCGTTGTTAGCACCACACTAGCCAACTGGGTATATTTGATGGACACTGGCGTTTCATTGCTTGATATCCCAAAACTGATCTTTACCATACAACCAAAAAAGAAATCTCATATCAGCGCAGCATCTGACCAGCTTTATTTGACTTGCAAAAAAAAAAACATATTTTGGTCCTCGTTATTGCGGAGGCAAAAAGATGGACTCGCGGGGAATCGAACCCCGGACCACTCCCATGCTAAGGGAGTATTATACCACTAAACCACAAGCCCAATTAATTGATTGGTTGGGGAGAATACTGCATTAATTTCCAAAACGACTTTTGGTAGGTTAAGGTCAAGTCACCAACCAAATTCTATTCAGACCGGCGTAAAGAAGAAAGTCTAGATTATTATTGGTTTTTTCGATATTATATTATCCGTATTTTCATTGTAAAAAATAGGCGAGTTTTAACTTTACATTTTGTGTTTGGTAGGATCGTCCACCGATATATATATATCAAGATTATACAGGAATTTCCAGTTTGCCGAACAAACCGTGATCAATTGAACCAATTCGTCGTCAAATAAAAATGAATGAACCACAGATGTATGTACTATAAATTGCGGTGAATGCCCCCTCCTTGACCTCCGCACTTTGACCTTGATAGTCAAGACATCACACGGAGGGACATACAGCTGATAAGAAACGATGCCAAGACTCAAATTAGCTTATCGCACTGGAATGATCTACAGCAGGGACATGACGACCTTGACTCCAGAGTCACTTTTCACTCTCTGTGCGTAACTCAACCCCAATTGAGATAAATACAATAAGCCCTCCGTGGACGTCCGAATGGAAACTCTTACCATATAGATTTGACCAAGAATCCACCAGCGTAGACTTTCTCAATTCGTCCAGATACCCCATCGGATGCTCGGCGTTTCGCTGTCGAGAACAGCTCCTGATTGGTCAAAATCACCGACACAAAAAGAAATATACGCGGGGAGAAGCTATTGAGCTCCAGGATAAGACCGATAACATACTCCAACTGCATCTGGTATAAAACCTCCCTGCGCCTGTTGGTCTTCTATTTTATTTCATCTCTCTTTCATC